TATTTTAGGATATAAATATTATCAATGTACTGGCCCCCTTGTATATAACTCGGTTCAGTCCCATTGGTTTAATGAGATCATGAAAGATCAAAGGGAAATCGAGCATTGGAGGGGATATACACGGGGGTGCAAAAGTTTTCCTACACCTACCGAAAAATTTCTTAGAACGATAATTCTTTGATTTCCCTTTTAATCTCTGATAAAACCATTGTTCTGAAGAGATAATTCTATATTCTTTAAATATAGAATGATCCCAAATTCACCAATATCCCTTTTAAACACCCAAATCCCACAATATCTCTGTTAATCCCTCCAAATTCGCCTCCCTCTATATCCATCGAAATCCAATTTTGCAGGTTATCCCGATATTATCCGTATCTGTTTAATGTATTGAGAGTGTATTGGCGATTTGTAAGGATCTATATCCTTCTTAATCTCTTTATCCTTTATCTATATCCTTCCTAGTGAAACGATGGGAAAAAATTATCACACATTCATTAAAATAGGCATTTTGAATGTAAATTTGGCATTGAAGGTGAATTAGTCGAGAAAATTAGCCGATAACTTAGGCATTTTTATAGTTTTGATTTCTTTCGTTTCGTTTCGTTTCGTAAAAATTGAGATTTTTTTCGTTTCTTTCGTTTCGCGAAAATGAAATTTATTTTTTCGTTTCGTTTTCGTTTCGTACATTGGCGAATTTATTTTTTTCGTTTTCGTTTCGTTGAGAGCGAAATTTTATTTTCGTGCAGCTCTGGTCCCCAGTCCAGACTTAAGGGACGTACTTGAATGTTTGTGATGCAACCCTTTATTTAAAATAATTTATCTAACATTAACTACTACTATCCCCAACGGAGGAAGTTGTTCCGCCAACGGGGGATAGTGTTCCGTCAACGGGGGAAGTTGTCCCGTCAACGGGGTAAGTTGTCCCGTCAACGGGGGAAGTTGTTCCGCCAACGGGGGATATTGTTCCGCCAACGGGGGATGTTCCGTCAACGGGGTAAGTTGTCCCGTCAACGGGGGATATTGTTCCGCCAACGGGGGATGTTCCGTCAACGGGGTAAGTTGTCCCGTCAACGGGGTAAGTTGTCCCGTCAACGGGGGAAGTTGTTCCGTCAACGGGGGATAGTGTTCAGTCAACGGGGGAAGTTGTCCCGTCAACGGGGAAAGTTTGAACAACATCCCCCATCATTGGGTCAACATCCCGCCAAAATTATAAAAAAATTTTGCGGCGGTATACTGGGCGTGCGGTATAATGGGCGGCGGTATAATGGGCCCGCGGTATACTGGGCGGCGGTATAGTGGCCTGCTCCCTTTAAAATTTGCTCTTATTGTACTAGAGCTTAGCTATTTTTTCTCTTTTACAGTAGAAATTTTGGTACGAGCTCCAAACACTGCCCGATTGTACAAAATTTTTTAGGAATTTCGAAAAAATAAATTTAATTATCGAACAAAGAAACCAATTTATTTTAAATCCCCTTACAAATTTAAAAATAAAATTTTTAAATTTAATTACCAACGCATCAAAGCCTTTTGTAAAGTGTCAGAAATACAAATACCAGGTCTATTAGAACTCATCTAGAAAATAATTTTTTTCAGAATTTTCTAATTTAATTTTCAAACCATTTTTGTAATTTTATTAATTGCCCTAACTCTAGTAACTCTATTACAATGCATTAAATATGCAGCCACAAATGCAGGTGCTCTATTTCTTCCTCTCAATGAATGAATTAAAACTTTTCTTTAAATAAAAAAAAATAAAATTTTAAATAAATTTCATTACTCACTGCAAGATACCCCCTCAAGTCTTAAAAATGGGGTGTATCTTAAATAGGGTATAGATTAACTAGCTTCCCGTATCGAGTGGGCAAACCAAATTTTAAAAAATCTTATCTTAAATAATAAGATTGTGGGTATTTTGTAATAAAGTCCAACAGTATATACCGTAAATTCTCTAATAGAACCACATGTGCTTGTATTTTTCGAACCTTTCGTAAGGTGTGCTTCTATTTAGGGGTGTGTTTCTATTAGAGAAGTTTCGGTATTTTTTACATACTTTTGTGAAATTCTTGCTTTTCTAATCAAATCAATTAATGTCTCAAAATAATGAATTATTTCCTCTCTTTCAAGTGCCTGAGCTTTTGTTTCATTTATAGAAGGTCTCTTTAAAAGTTTAAAATTAGCCTCTCTCAATAAAATTACCGTATCTCTATTTAACATTTGTTGGTGGGAATCATCTTTAATTTTAATAGACATTGTCATTCTCGAATGTGCTGTTCTTTTAGGACAAAGACAAGGATATTCTGAACGGGGTCTTTAAAAAAAGAAAAAAATTTTGGGGAAAAAATTTTTTTTTAATTTTACTTACCTCGTATTTACAAGTGCTGGGTCATCTTCATGTCCACTTAAATCAACAATATATTCAATATTTAAACGACACAATAAATTTTGATTTAGAGCTGCTTCTATACCTCCACAATAAACTGTCTCGTCAACCTTAAGTATTTATTTAATAAATTATATTAAAATTCCCGATAGTTCTTTGAAGATTTATGTATATCCAACAACCTAATGCTCGTAACAATTATTTCTCTTGTAAAAAGAGATATCTCAAAGAGGGATAAATAGAAGAGTATCTTTTGTTCATTGGTCCCCTTCCCAATTAATTTCCTTCATTTTAAACCTCCTTCCCTCGATTCTGGTAAATCTCCGTTTCTTTTCAATAAATCTCCAGAGAATTTCTTACTATCTCCAAGTATAAAATACAATTTTTTCAGCCCCAAGAGTGTATCTGATTGTCAGTTCCAACTTTATCTTTCATTCCACAAAATTTCCCAAAAAAAGGAAATTTAAAATACCTGCCAAACAATTGCACCCAAATAATTACTTCTTCTAATGCCTGACTGTGATTGTGGTCTATTATTAGTTGGGGGTGAACGCCAAATTTCATTATTATTTGATTGATTATTAATTGAATTAGTAGAAGTTATTGTTTTAAGTAAATCTTTATTTGTATTTTTATTTATTTTGTTTATATTTTGAAAGTCAGAAACTGAATGCCAAGAAGATAAATGTAAATTTGTTGATGTTGATTCTGTTGGATTACTATCTCTATTAGAGTTGGAAGGTTTACGGTTATTTGAATCCATTGAAGGACGACGATCTAAGGGAGAAGTTGAACCAATTCGTTGATGTTCAGCAGAACACTTTAAAATAATAAAATAATAATTTAACGTTTTTTCTGTATTAAAGCCACCCTCTATATTAGAGCCCCCCATCCCTTTTTTGTCAGATGCCAAATAGGTATTTACAACCTATTCTATTTTTTCAATTATTTCAAGTCTAATTATTAGAGCTCGGCAATACGAGGGATTATGGGGATATCGAAAGATTTTGAGAAATTAAAGGGATGCTTTGAGGGGATATCGTTAAAAGCACCTCCTAAACGCTCAATATCTCCTCCAAACCATCCAAATTTACCTATATACACTTAATCCTCTAATCCCCTGTTATCCCCCTAATCCACCTAAATCATTTTACATCACTCTCATTCTCTCCTCGTCCATATGGATCTACTATCGGATTATGAGAAAGATGAATTTTGTGGGATTAACGGGATATCGGGAGTTCGGAGAGATATCGAAAGCTCTTGAGAGGGTCGTTACTAACAAGGATTTATTATATATACAATTTATTTTCTCACCGATCGTCCACTACTTTCAATTATCTTTTCTTCTTCATTTGTTAGTAAAACATTTGAAGTTTCAGGATACAACGAAGGACGTGTTAATTGGTTATTATATGAAGGTTTAGGGAGTACAACAACTCTATTACTTGTTTTTGTGTGTTCAAAATTTGAAATAATTTTTTCTTCTTTTGTAGAATCAAGAGATGAAGAAACAGAAAAAATAGAAGAACGAGTATCTGCACTTCGAAATATTTTTTGTGAATTTCTCAAAATATTATTTCCTCCTCCTGCACTTGTTTTTACAGTAGAAATGGAAGAAAGAGGAGGAGGGAAGGGTTGATCAACCTTTAAAAAAATAAAATTTATTTAGAAGATATTTTAGGGTATTTTGAATGTATTTTTTGTAAAAGCATAAACATATCTATACAATTAAACCTCTATACAAGATACACCCAATACAAGATATCCTACTAGATATTTGAGATACATTTATAAAATTTTGTAGGCCACATGGAGAAAGTGTGTATTGGATATCTTCTATTTAAGAAACGTATAACTATAATATATACGATTTATCAGCTAAACTGTACATCTTAAAATGAGGTTTAACCGTGAATTACTCTAATTTTAATTAATTCTTTAAATTTTTACAGATCGTTGCTGCTGAATATTTGTTGATGGATTTGTTTGTTTTGATTGACTTTCATTTAAATTATCCATTTCATCACTTAATGTTGTTGTAATTGTAGTTAAACTATCTTCACGTTTAGAGAGGAAAAACTGAAAAAAGTAAAGAAAGTTTTAAAGAAAAAATTAAAAAAAAACTTCAATTTGTTTTGTATCAAGTGCCGGGGCTGCATTTGAATGGTCAGAAAAATCAGTTGTAAAAACAGCCGAAGAACTAGACGGAGTTAAAGAAGAGAAGGAATGCGCAGAAGTGCAACGACTAAATTTTAAAATAAAGCTATTAAATTACCGTTAATTCCCCCCATTAATTCACCTTAAAGGGAGTAAAGGTATGTAAACTTGATAAAATATTTTAATTAACCCCCCTCCAATTAATTGTCCTTATGTAGGAGGACAAAGATAAATAACGAGAAATGTTTCAACTAGACATCTCTTTCACCTTATTATTAAGTCTAATCTAGTCAAAAGATACACTCAATACCAGGTAAACTTCAGTTAATAAAACAAAACCCCCCTCCATAAAAATGATTGAGCATTGGGTGAGGGAACTGATAAAGCAAAATCCATTATTTAATATCCAATTTAATTTATGGGGAACGGTTATTCAGCCCTAATTAAGTAAAGGGTGTTAGTCATATCCCAACTGTATAAATAAATTCTCTAACATTTTTTCAGATTTATTATTTTCTTTTTTATTTCCACCACCAAAAGCCAAAGCCCCCAATCCATCAACTACTTTTCTTTCAGAACTTTCAGTATCCAAACAAAAACTTGCATGTCTGTTGTTTATATTTAATTGTTGTTTATCCCCTCTTTCTTCTTTAGTATTTATTATTTTTTCATTATCATTATTTACTGAAGGCATTGAACGTCTTAATGATGAATTTCCCATTGAATTTCGATTTGGGTGAAGACCGTCAAAAAAAGAATTTCCGCCAAAACCAAAATTTTCTTCAAAAAAAATTATTTTAAATTAATCTTCAATCTTTTTTGAACAAATGGCCGTTTAACAATTAATTATATGTTTATCCTTTAATTAACTTAATAACATTTATTGTTAGGCTCACTTTTAAAACCTTCAATTTAAATTGTTTATAACAGAAGAATTAATTAGAGAAGCCAAACTTAAGTTTTTTGTGGTCTAGCTAATGTAAGGATGATTCACCTAGAGCATTTAAAACGCTTAGGCGTGAGTTAAATTAAACGATCTAAAAAATAAAAGATTAGTCGATGCCCCGGTAGCTCAGTGGTAGAGCAACTGCATTTGTGTGATTGAGGCCGAACGATCACTATCAACGTTGTCAGAGGTTCAACTCCTGCCCGGTGGCTAAACTTTTGTTAAATTCTTTCTCTAATTAACGAGTACTCGATATAATTAAAGACTGAAGGTGAGGATCGAGATTACTTGGAGGTAATTTTTGAAAGAGATCACGTGTCTCAGTTGGACATCTAGTTATAATATAGGTATCAGTCTTTTAGAGAAAGAAAATAATTAATTTTTAAAAATAAAAAAAGATAAAATAAATTTGAAAGAGAAATACTAATCTTTAATGAATAAATAGATAAATAATTATTATTTATATAGGTAAATATTTAGAATATATTTTTGCAAATACCCAATTAAATTTTGTATAAAAGTCATGAGACTAAATGAAGATTTAAATTAAAAATGAGAAGAGAAGAGAGGGAGGGAGGGATGAGCTTAACTTATTATTAAATAAATATTAATAATTATTCATTCTTTAAAGAGGTTTTTGCTTTCGATATTTAAATTACACCCTCAAATTATTTCAAGAAATACACTGAATTGTGTGTTTCAGAATTTTTGTTATAATTTTAATAAATACTCGTGAACGTGATAAAGCCCTTAATAAATTATTACAAAAAATAAATGATGAGAGAAAGAGAGACGATCCAGGCTAAAGACCGTATTCCAGACAAAATACATTCCCGAGAGACCCCCCCCCCCCTTTCCTCTTAATTCTACTAACATTTTGGAGTAAAATGAAATAAAATTAAAATTATTTAATATAAACTCTTTAAAAATTAAATATTTAAATTTTTACCAGAATTTCCACGAAAAGACCCAGTAGATCGATCACTTGCCAAATGTCTACTTAATATTCTATCATCTCCTCCACGCATTATTTTTAAAAAAATAAAATTAGGGAGAAATTAAGGAGTAAAGGAGAATATTTTGATTAAATTAAGAAAGATTTTTTTGATTTTCAAAAAAGTTTTTGAATTTTAAGTATATTTTATTTTAATTTAAGAAAAAAGTCATGACAACTTTAAATTAAATTTATTTTTTATTAAAATTTTTCTCAAGAAAATTGTGAAAAAAGGTTAAATATTTATTAAGTATAAATATTTTAAAAGAAATTCCAAGAAAAAGAGTAGTGGTAATAAAATATTATTTATTTATTTAATTGCGTGCCAATTATTTCTAATTGACGTAATCAACCAATAAAAAGAAATTAATATAATAAAAAGAAAACTTTTTTTATTAGAAAAAGATAAATACCCAAAAAGCAGGTGAAATGCCGTGATGGAAAAAAAGAAGAAATCATAAGTCGAATGATATTTTAAATTGACGTATTTTATATTGGATATTTTATTTATCTCTTTTTTGGTCTAATAAAAGGGAGGGGGTGGGGGGTAAATTTAAGAAAAAGGAAATAACTAAATAAATTTTTTAGAAATTTTTGTTTAAAAAAAATTTTAAATTCGCCAATTTTTATTTTTTCAATTTCACATTAAGAATATAAAATTGGTCTTATTAAAATAAAATAATGTTTTGTTGCCTATAGCTACATAGAAAAGGTATCAATTTTGAGTAAAATATAATTGTATTTTTGAGAAAAAATAATAAATATGTAGTATGGAAATTTTAAATCCAATAATTGGTGCCGCTTATTCGGAACGTTTAATATAGAAGGAATTTGTGAGGATACTGAAAATTGATCAAGAATTGATAAATAAAAAACTTGATTTATTAAATTAAAAATTTTCATAATATGGAAAAAATTCAGTTGAATTCGCAACTTAAAATAAAAGCCTCGAAAAAATATTTGTCGTTTAATCATTCCGGTAAATGTGAATTAGTGTGGAAGGGGCAAGGCTAGAGAGTTTATGGCCTTCCCGATCTTAGTACTATAATAAATACATATATGTTATAATAGAAGGAAAAATAATTATTTGACTGTAACTTTTTGTAGTTACAGTTTTTGTAGTTATCTGATCAAATCAATCCTAATAAATAAAATCTAGAGTTTAAATTGATATAATAAATATTTAAATTAAGTTTGGCGGATCTGGATATCCGAATCCGAAAAAAGGCTGGATATCTGAAAATTTCAGTTCTGATACCGGATCCGGATATCCGAAGATTTCCAACTATCCGCCAACCTTAATTCAAATAGGTTGATCAAAAAAGGCTCAAAATACGGTCTTGAGCTGAATAGGCAATACTGAAACGTCCTTTACCGTAGTTCGAATTGTCGACATTGAAGCGGCTTTTACTGGTAAAGCGGCAAATTTGAATTTCCTCTGAATCTTCTGAAGAGTAGATTATTTTTCAAAATTTTTCTTTTTAATTTTCTAATTAATATTTTGGTTATTTTTTAGAAATTATTTTAATTTTAACCCCAAATTATTTCTAAAATGAATTCAACAATTAACAATGCAACAATTGATTCCATTACTTTAACTCGCCCCTGTCCTGAATCTTATAGCAAATATTGTTACAATAGAGGAAAATGTTATGCTGCTTGGGTTGGAAATGGAAATTTCAAACCTTTCTGCCAGTTTGCTTTTTTTGTTTAATTTTTTCAGTTATTTTTTAAAAAGTTGTGCCAGAGGCTTTCATGGACCTCATTGTGAATATTTATTCAATCCAGACGTTTACGGCTTCAATGTTAGTGACGAATTGGAAAACAAGGCTTTGTCGACTGTGGCTATCATTTTATTTTTGGTTATTGTTGGTCTTATTTGGTGCCTTATTTTGCATCGAAAGTTTGTTTTTTTTTGTTAGAAATTTGGGGGTTTAATTTGGTACAAGTTACATTTTTTCCTCCCATTTTTCCTTTTCATTTATTTTTGGGCTTTTGAGGTTACTCGATTCTGTAACTGTTCTGCCTACGGAACTGGTTCTATTGTTCTCCCCTCATTTTTCCCTTTTGGTTCGATATCAATTTTTAAAATGAAAGGACACCGAACAGAATAATGCAATAAAGTAATAGATTGTCACAAATTCTGACACCTCATGGAATGGGAGAAAGGAAAATTTGGGGAGGGGATTGGGGAAAAAGTGAGTTTTTTGGTTTACGGCCTTCCAAAATTCTCAAATCATCAAAAATTTTGACTCCTTCAGTGCCAAAAATGATTTTCCCCCATGCTCCCCTCGAAATTTTTCCTGGCTATGGGCCTGGTCCTGACTCTGAGGAATGTTACACTAAAAGCCCAAGAACGAACATTATTACTAAATTTTCTTATACGTCACTTTCTCTCAGGATTGTCCTGAACCTGGACTCATTGTCAGACCTTTATTTTTCTCTAAAAAATTCTTTTAGATACATCAAGGCCGCAATCAAAAACAACAAAGACGAAATCGAGTCCATTGATTATGCCGTCGTGTAGAGCAAATGACAATTCAATGTGCCTTCTTTAAGAAAATATTTTTTATAATTTATAGGTTTCTTATTTTTTAATTTTTTTAAAACTAATTTAAATTAACTAATTCCTAAATCACATTTTTAGACATTTTTACATTGTGATTGTTCACAACTGGTCAACAGAAATTTTCGAAAAATGAGGGCATTTCTTTTTAAGTTCCCAAAATTGTAAAATATATTTAGGAGCATAAAGAGAATCGTTTTTTATACAAATTCAAAATTAAATCGGTATTCGACTAAAACCCTTAAAACCGAAAGTATCTGTTAATAACCAGTTGTGAATAATTTTATTGTTGATTTTAAAATATAAATAAATTACTCACTTAAATTTATTTGTAATCGGATCTCGATTTTAAATACTTCCTTTTATGTTAAAAATTCACCATCCAATGTCCAATCAAATTTTTAAAAATTTATTTAGTTCAAATACTTTGGGGTAGGGGTATTTAAATTTGAGGTCGGATGTAACTTATTTGACATATAAATATATTTTATAAATTGTATAAAATATTCATTTTTATATAAAGAAAATTTTTTAAATTTATAACAAATATTTAACAATTCTAATAGGAAATTTAGATTTAAAAAGAATTTTTAAAAAATTTTAAAAACCATATACTTGAAAATATTCTCAACAACCATTAAAAATCCTCAATTATTGTCCAACAATTCTTCAATCTTTTCAGTAAATTGGCTAAGTTTTAACAAATGATATTTTTGTAAATGTCTGTTTAATTCATATTTAACAGAAAAATTCTTTCCACAATGTTCACATCCATAAGGTTTTTCCCCTTTAGAAAAGATAAATTAAAAAAAACTTCTCGGTTAAAATCAAACCTTTGTGTGAATTTAAATGTCCTTCTAATTTACTTGCAGAAATAAAAGATTTATCGCATAAAGGCCAATTACACAAATATTTCTTCTCTTTAATACTTTTTTTGTATTTAATGTCTCCATGAATTTGGTTAAAATGTTTTCTTAAATAACGTCCAGTTTTAAATTTTTTGTTACATTGAGGACAAGTAAATTCTCCTGAAGCAGCTTTTTTATTTACAAATAAAGAAATATCAGTGAATTGCTCCCCTTCCTCTTCGGTTTTTATTAATTCTTCGTTATTTTGGTCGTTGATTTTCTTAGAAAAATAATTTAGTTTCTTATAAGTCCTTCCCATATTTAAAAAAATTTGTGGAGACCGAGCTCATTAAAGTATTTATTGAATTTGTTGGCCCGCAAGTAATGATCCACAAATAGACCATTAATCAGTTTTTTAAATATTAACCAACTTTTAAATATAATACCTCTTTTTCAATTTCTTCTGTTTGTTTTGTTGAAGAATTTGGGTTCTCCATTTCATTATTTAAACAATGCTTTTCGCGAACATGCCTAGCTAGACGATTGTAAGGTAATCTAGCACCACAACCATTAATTGTACATTCTAATGCTGAAAGGAAAATGTGATTGAAGGAAAATTTTTCGCCTAAAATGAAGCTTTTATCTTTTTCACGCATAAGAGAAAATCTAAGTAGCTAGAATTTAAAACAATTGACGGGAGTTTAAGATTTATAGGAGAATACCCCCAGTAACGTAGTGAGCGAAATAATAGACGCTAAGAGAACTGAGGTAACGCCACCACCAAAATAAAGTTATCAAAGCTCTTTAATTTGAAATAACCTTCACTCACCTTTATCACCATGTGCCTGTCTTTCGTGTCTTCGAACCTGTGAAGTCAACTTATTTTTGTATTCACAAAATGAGCAATTCTTTAATCCTTTAAATCCACCCATAAACTAAAAATAAACTCAAACATAAAAATTTAAGCATAAAGAATTATTTAAAGCTAAAAACTTAGCAACAGATTAACGCACTATAAAATATTTATTATTTTTAAATATGTAAATTAAATATACAACAAGTAAACAAAAGATGAAAAAATATACAGATAAAATTTAAATAATAATTAACCCGTTTAATATGAAATTAAATTGAATGAGTATTTCAAAATTTTAAATCTAATCATGATAGAAAGGAAAAATAGTAAAAGGGTGGGGGAATAGCAAAAGCCGATGGGTTTTTAATGCCTGGATGGTAAAGAGACCCTGAATCGAGAAAGTTTCCAACCCAACTTTTTTCAAAACTTTTCAATCATTGAGTGAATTATTTGAAGAACTGTCATAATCTTCAAGTCTTCCAATCAATTCATATCTTTTTGGACCAATTCTTTGAGTGTGTAATGACTGAGGAAGGCCAGTATCGTTTCTCTAAAAATTTGTCAAAATTTTAATTTTTTAATTGAATTCCCTTACAATTTCATTCAAATCTTGATTATTTTCCTCATCCATTTCCTCATCATTTTCGTCAAGTCCCAAAAGACCATATCGTTCAGCAATTTCTGCTCTCTCAGCAAAGTTAGGAATGTGTAGATGTTGATTAACTTGAGGTAATTCGTTGGAAACAGAATCATCTGAAAAAAATGTTTTAAAGAAATGTTCATCAAGGAATCTTTAAAAACTGTCTTCTCGAATAAAGAATACTGTTATTAGAGGATTCTAAGGTATGTATTTGCCCTCCCACTACTATTTGCAACTTTTCATAGAAAGTAGGAAAGGAAAAACGGAAATGGGGAGGAGGGAAGAATTTAAAAAAATTTAAAGAAATAATTTAATTAAAATTATTCACCTTGTTCTTCTCCTTTTTTATCTTTTCCAATGTCAAATCTTTCATTCATCCAATTCGGATTTTTCAATTCAAAACGCTTAAATTCCTCTATAGCATCATTCAAAGGACTTAAATCAGCTTGATGTTCAAATCTATTATTTTTCTCTGTTTCATTTAATAAATCTTTTTTGTCATTCAAAATTCCATGAATCCAGGCAATTAAATGGCCAATATTTTGAGGCAAAATAAGCGATCCAAAACCAGCACAAAACAGAGTAGATTTAAAGAAAGGCGGAATTGAATTAGAAGGGGAGTAGGAAAAACGAGCAAACGCGAATTGATTGAGTCGAGATGATGTAGAATTTTCACAAGTTTCAGACGTTGAATCCTTTGGACTATCCTGAGAAGTAATTCCTCCATTTTTAAGAGCAGAATCTAAAATTACAAAAAATATTGATATAATTATTTTAATGATGAAAGATAACCCGTCCTTTGATGCTTTGATGTTGTACGTCTTCGACTAATTATTACCCCATTTTTGACAAGTCCCTCATTTGAAGCAATGTCGTTTATTTTCTAAAAGAATTGTCATAAAAATAATATCAAAAAATCATACCGAAATAACAAATCTAACAGCACAATTAAAATAATCAGAAAAATGTCTTCTTTGTACCAATTTCTGTCCAGCCATTACACGCCTTGAACATTCAGAAAATATTGTTAAAACAAAATCGCATTCGCCTAATTTTTCTACTAACCAAACGCCAGGGCGGACAGCTGCATAAATTTAAAGAAATTTAATTGAAGACTGGGTTAATTAATAGTGAAAAATATATAGTGATGAAAATCGATGATAAAAAGAATCGAGCCGGTATATAAATTTAAAAAATAATCAAAAAATAACTTGGGTTTTGTAAAAATTCTTTTTGATCAACAAAACAAATAGCATTAGCATTTTCTTCCAAAATTTTACACAAAGCCATTACAGCATCTGTATGTTGCTGACAATCGTCTGTGTAGAGAATAAGAACTTTTGGGCGTTTTGTTAATTCTACACTTTGTGGTTGCCGTCTTTGAAGAGCTAAAGGTAATAGTGTCGTTTCCCAGCCCCCTTTTTTTCCTCCCAATTTTCTACCCTATGTTTGTACGGAATGGTCAAATTTTCCCCTTTCTTTCATCAAATTTGCCTTTCCATATTTTGCCTAAATACAATCAAAAAGATTAATTTGTGATATTTAAATAAGTATTAGAGTAATGAGAAAAATCATTTTCCCAATTAATAAAAATGGAAGAACTAAAGAATTTCAAACCTATTGATTTAAATGAAAAATTACGTTTGAGTGATAATGATTTCGATGCATGGCTTGAGAAGCTTGGACTTCTTCATATGGAAAGGCAAATTTGATGAAAGAAAGGGGAAAATTTGACCATTCCGTACAAACATAGGGTAGAAAATTGGGAGGAAAAAAAGGGGGCTGGGAAACGACACTATTACCGAGCTAAAATTATTTTAGAAAATTTTAAATGGAAAAAGTATTTAAAAACACCTCTTTGCCTCCAAAAACGCAATGAAAGGAAAAGAATTGAGGTAATTAAAATTGCAACTAAAATAAAATTAATTAGAATGGATTATTTAATAAAAATTTTGTTTTCATTTTAAAATAAAATCAAATAACAGTTAAAGTTAAATGAAAGTAAAAATTAAAATGAAAATTTTATTTAGCACACTCACAAAGGTCCAAACTTAAAAAATATTTTCTGATTAGACCAAACCCGAGTGTGCAAATAATCGAATCTTATGTATTATAAGAACTATTGAAATCAAAATATTTTTGTAATGAAAATTTCGATAAAACCAAAAAAAGTTTACCTAAAAGTAGAAGAACAGCATATTTGGAAATTAATATTAGCGTCTTTCTTCTTTTCCATTCATTAGAATATTTTGATTCAAAAAGAGTAAAGTTCAACGCTGTATGTGGACATTCTATACAATTTTTGCCAGCAAGAGAATTTTTATCACAAACAAGTTCACATTGATTATTGTCAAGAAATGCATAAAGTCTAAAAATTAATAAAACAATTCTTTTTTATAAAAATAAAAGTGCCAAATAATTTCATCAAAAATCGAATTTTAAATCACGACAAGTTCGGGTTTTAAAAAATAAACGTTCCAGTGTTCCCAAATTTTTCAGCAAAAAAATTTTTAAATCGGAAAAAAAATTAATTATCGGATCTATACCCACCCCAAGTCACCAACAGCTATAAAATTAGTTTATGTACATACATATATTTCCCTGCATCAACATTCTTCCAATATTTCCTCCAATGTTGTTTCGATTCAAATAAATTAACAAATAAACTATTTTTATCATATTTTTGTGGATGTATTCTTTCATTAGCTACCAATAAATGTTTCTCACTTTTTGTTTTATTTTGATGAGAAAAATCATCAAAATCATAGACAGAAAATATAGAAAGGTTAACATCCCTTGAAGGCCATATCCAACGCATTGGACTTAAATTGACTAAAATTTCCTAAAAAAGAAAAATTTTAATTTTAACCCGACTGTTTTTTAATGCTTTACATCAGAATAAGAAAGATCAACATAAATAAGAGGAGACCATCTAGCCAAGTGATTCTGTTGAAGAAATTCAGGCCATTTTCCATTTCCACTGTAGAAGTAAGCAATTTTTGGGTCTAATTGACGTTCTAAGGGTGTCGTTAGTAAAAAAGTTTTTCTAAATTTTCAAAACTTTAATGATTTAGTTAATTTTAATAATGTACCTACAAAGAGATCCATCATTATTTTTAATTACAAAAATATCAAGTAAATATTGACTGAGACTGAACAGATTATAACAAGTATATGAGAAGAAAATTGCAAGTTCGTCCTGAAAAGTTTATTACATATATAAGGTAAAAATAATTTGGTCTACATCTGATTAATTTGGTCTAATTTAGTCTACATCCCCAAGTACATCTCGAAACTGCAAGTGCCCAGAAAAATTGCATTTGCAGGATCTCGCCGGATCAATCCCGAATCATGCAAATCAAAGATGTGGATTTGAAAGAGCGAAATCCGGCAAGCTTACACATAGAATTCCGTTTACGTCAACTTCTAACAGCAACATAAAAAGAATAAACACAAACCTTATTTTTAAAATAATCTCCAATCCCCAAACGCCTACATGGCCAAATCATTCTTCCCCATTTTCGAATTAGAATTTCTTGTTTGTGACACAGATAATCTTCCTTGTTGGGAGAATATAAACAGCGAAATTGAAAATAAATTTCTTGAATTTCTGAGGATCTTGCAACAAAGGATATATTCAATTTTATATATGGAAGACTAAAAAATAAAAAATTTGGGGAAAAATCAACAAAAATTTACATATTTTGCCCATCAGGAAAAACAGAATAAGGCATTAAATCCACTTCTAGCAAATCATCTGGACAATTTGGAATTTGTTTTCTTCCGTTTTTGTCGTCTTCGATAGGCAATAAATTTGTGAGAAATTGGTCACAACTTTTTGAATCATCCAAAAAGGTAAAGTCCTTCTCAAAAGTATTATTTTGTTGATTATCAAGTGAAAAGACGATAAATTCGTGATAGCAATCATTTGAAGCGAACTGAGAAATTTGATTGAAAAATAATAATAAAAATAAAACGCCAAATTGCATAACCTGATAAATTTTCAAAAAAATAATAAAACAAACTTAATCAAAATAAAATTAGTAAAAATCAACTAAAAATATACCAAAAAAAAGTTTTTTAATTTAAAAAATTTAAACAAAAAACAAAACAAAATTTTCTAATTTGAAGTTTTTTCTTCATTTTGTGAAGCTTTTTCATCCTCCTTATCATTTTTGCCTTCTTTAGCCTTCTCTATACTTTTGTACATAAGCCTTCTGTACGCACGCGCTCTCACAAAAGTATTTGGATGTAACGGGAGTAAACCAGAAAGGCCTAAAATTTGCTTTTAATTATGAAAACCCAAATATGAATTCCATCCTTAAGAATATTAAGCCCCAAATTTTCCAAAAATAAAAATTTTTTACCAAGAAGTTCAAGTAACGGAACAGATACTTCAGCATTTCTAACGCCTAACCAATACTTCAATCGATCGAATTTTAAAGAAACCAATTTTTCATTTCTATCGTTAGGTATTGGATCAAAAGTTCCAAGCTGAAAAAAAAAGAATTTTAAAAAATTATTTACAATATACTCTACATTTTCAATCATATTTCCTCTATAATGTTCTCCTAAAGCCTTATCTGGATAAACAGCAATATGATATACTGGTCTATTTGAACAACCAAAATTAGCCAAATAAATATAAGGCCTGCCAAAAGTTGCTGGATTAACTAATTGACGCATTCTAAAAATTTTTAAAAATAAAAGTAGAATGAAATTAATGAATTTAAAGAATATTTTTGAAAGGAAAACAAATAAAAAAAAAGATTTTTATAAAAATAATTATAAAAATATATGTGTGTTGATTAGAAAGAATATTTAACAAATTAGAAAATGAATCTCACATAAAACAAGGACTTCCTTAGGACAAAAATAGAATAAAATTAAAGAGATAGCCTAGGCAGAAACGTTTTTTTGCTATCAGAGTCGCCAGAAATTAAAAAAAATTCTACTCGACCGAATTTGATTTTATAAGTTAGCAATTAGCAGTTGCGGACAGATGTAGCCAAAAAAAGGTTTATTATTTTTGTTAAAGAAACGTTCCCACAAGTTTTGAAAGGAAATAACAAAATATTTTTTAAATAAAATATTTTTTTAATTTTATAATTTCCTCTTTTCTTTTTCAGTTAAAGTAAGAATTGTCTTTTGCCATTCTAAACGAGCTTTTTCAATACCTTTCAAACCTTCTCTTAAATATCCATCAAATTTAAAATTTAAATCTTGATCAACTTTAAAATCACCAGAAATGTGCTATAAAATTTTAATTAAAAATTAAATTTAAAAAAAAAATAATTTCAAACCTTAAAAATTATTCTCGAATATTCAATTATATAAATACCACAATCACCAGAAATTTCCATAAACGGCGTTTGAGTATATCTTCGAATTGGTTGGTTGGATGTTAATTTTAAATAATTTGTCATTTTAGAAACAAACTTTAAAAATAAAATTTTATGAAAAATAAATTTAGAAAAAAAGCCAAACCGAATAAACAGGTTCACTAACATTATCATAATTTTCAAAGCCTCTTGCAGGGTCAAAAAGTAAAAAATTCTTTTGATTAGGATTAAAAAGAATTAAAGACCAATGTGTCCCACTATAAACTTGATTTGGATTATTGCTGTCGTTATAAATAAATAAATTCCATTTATCAGGATTTACTCCAATATTATTTAAAAGGGTGTCGATTTGATCGCTTTCGTATTTAATTAATTCTGATTGAGTGGCATAAACAATACGAATCTAAAAATAAAATGGTCAATAGAGGTTAGAATATAAAAATAAAGAACTTAACTTGTTGAAACGTTCTTCTTTAAAATATTTATTGGCCAAATAAATAATTGCAAAATTTACAATGTTATCAGTCAACCAACCATGGCCACGAAGAGAAATAACTAAAAAAAAGTTAAGTTGATTGAACAGAAAAAATATAGAATGTTGTGACTTATAGGGGGTTTTTTTTGGCTGGACCGATTTGGACAATTGAGGTGTCATTCGAAAGAGCTCGCCGAGCTGAGTCGAACTAGGGGCGAGTGGAGTCGATCCGACAATCAGGGACCGAGATACAGACCCCTGAAGTTTGAAAAAGAGAAGGGGGGAGTAAGCTCATTTTGGGGTGAAAAATTCGAAAATGCAAATAATAGCTTATTCGACTCAGCTCGTCGAGCTGAGTCGAATGACACCAAAATCAGCTCGATATCTGGATTTTGAGCCAAAATAAACAGGTTCAAAATGGTCAACATAAACCTATGGAGCGTCGGCGAGGCGCTTGTGCGAAACCCCGCGCTTCGCGCGGGGTTTCGCGGCACGCGCCTCGCGGGGAGTCAACGGTCGCTGGGTCTGGGTCAGTAACATAAACCTATTCCTATCTCTCTTGCTCTGGGCGTATTTGGGGCCTCTGTAGCAGCAAAAACCTCAACAATGACCATAGGTAGGGAGCTAAAACAAACGATCATAACTTTGTCAAATCAAGTCGGTTCTCGGTGATTTTGGTGTCATTCGACTCAGTTCATCGAGCTGAGTCGAATGAGCTATTATTTGCATTTTCGAATTTTTCACCCCAAAATGAGCTTACTCCCCCCTTCTCTTTTTCAAACTTCAGGGGTCTGTATCTCGGTCCCTGATTGTCGGATCGACTCCACTCGCCCCTAGTTCGACTCAGCTCGGCGAGCTCTTTCGAATGACACCTCATTTGTCCAAATCGGTCCAGCCAAAAAAAACCCCCTATAAGTCACAATACCCAAAATATAAAATAACCGTCTTCGTCATGAATATCAATGTCTTCATAAGAGAAAAACCTCATTGTTGAAATTTTAATTAGCCAAAAAATTTTAAAAAATCTTTAATTATTTTTAAAAAAATTTTCCTTAAAAAAGATTGGAGAGAAAAGAGAGAATAAGAGAGAAAAAAATGAAAATGGAAAAGGTCAGAAAGCTTTGGGTCAGGTGAATTCCGCCAGCTGACCAAAACATCGTTTTGTCAAAACACCGTCTGGTCAAAACACCGTTTTTTGTTTAGCGCATAATGGTCAAACTAAAACTTCCATAATTCTGAAATAATCAAAAATTTAGTTTTGTGCCTTATAAAGTTAATTTTTTATGTAGATAAATTTATTGCCTTAAAATATTTTTTTAAATTTTCTTTTTAATTCACTTGATGAGCAGTAATCGAAAAGGTTTTTTTCATATTTTTTAATCATTTTTATCATTTTAGACCCTAATTCATCCTCTAACAAGTATCGATCTCCAGCTTCTGGTTTAAGCAAATCAATTTTCTCTGCTATTAAGGGTGTTCCAGTCGAGGTAATTTTAAGAACATTTTGTTTCTTTGATTCACCAATACACCTAGTTTCTAACTGAGAAGTCCAAATATTTTTGTTTAAATGCTCAAAACTTGTATTTTTTCTTTTTATGATTAACCACATCGACAAATATGTGAATGAGGTTCGATTCCACACGGCAACGTTTTTTTTATTTTTTAAAAATAATAGAAATGCCACGTTTGGACTCTTACAGCTTTTCTGATTTTAGCTGTTTTGGCGAATCAGTTTAGCCCATTTTTTTAAATCTTTTAATTTATTAGGAAGTTAATAGTAAAAGCGCAGTCAGAGCTCTTGCAAATACAGGTGTACATTTATCACAAATTGACAAAACTTCTCGAAAAGATGACAAAAAAGAGAATAAAGAGAAGGATAAAATGAAAACAACTTTCAAAGCACTTATTGGACATTCTTCCTCAAAATCAAGGGATGGGGAATCCTCTCAACGAAGCACTCCGAAAAGAGACAAAAATAAAAAATTAACAGATAGTGAGAGAGGAAGACGCTCTTTTTCTTGTGAAATGGTTGTTAATACTCCTAATCATTGCCAGGTTTGGATTTTTGGCCACATAACTTTAAAACCCAAAAATTTGATGTAACAGAAATTTTGACCTAAAAGACCTAACAAAAAATGACATAACAGAAATTTTCAGAGGCATCAGAAGGGAATTTATAGATTATAAAGAGAAATATGCCAATAACTTTTAAAAAATCTAGAAAAAACCTGATCTAAAGAATATTCCCCTCCCCCCCCCTCCCTCCCTTATCAAACTTCAAACTTTTAATTTTTTAGAAAGCTCAAAGTATAAACCAAATAAATGTTGCACATTGTCAACAACCACAACAAAATCTTATTACTTCCTCAAATTCACTTATTTGTGGCTCTTCACTTTCTGTTCAATCAACAAATCCTCCCTCTACTCCAGCATTAAGAGGACGTTCACCTTCTGCTGCAAGTAGTATTTGTTCGAAGGTTTTTATAGATCTTTGAGGAAACTTTTAAAAAAAATTTAGGATGAAAAATTGATTGATAATGGCGAATTGAAACAACCAAAAATTCGTCTTTCAATTTGTGCGAAGGCTCTCTTTGCCTGTGCTAATGGGCAATTACAAGAATTGAGGAATTTAATAAAAGAAAATGTAAAAAATATTTTTGAGAGGGATTTAAAATAATTTTTTTTAATTTTTAGCCAGAATTAATAAATTATAAATATCCTCTTTGTTATCGCTACAGTTGTTTACATATTGCTGCCAAGTCTGGTGATAAAAATATTGTGCAATATTTGGTTAGAAATGGGGCAGATTTAAATTCCAAAGATGTAAGTTTGATTTTATTTCAAAAATATTTGTAATCGAAATTGTTTGAGTCAATATTTTGATCGGATTTCATTAGACTCATAAACTAGACCAGAGCCCTCCGATTTTCTTCATAGGTCTATCTAGGAACATCCAGATAGGAACTTCCCATTTGAAATACTATCTGATCTTTGATTTTACTTAGAAAAAATATTTTAAATTCCATTAAACATTCATTCTCTGAAAGATCATTTTTAGGTGAATTTACTTTCTTATCAATTTTCAATTTAAAAAATTTGATGATAAGAATTAAAATTTTTTTTATAGGAAATGCATTGTACTCCATTACATGCTGCTGCGAAAGCTGGACAAATTGAAATGGTTAATATGCTCATTGAAATGGGTCTTATTTTAACTTTTCATTTTTAATAATTTGAAATATTTTTAGGGGCTGATAAATATATTCGTGACGCTCATGGAATGCTTTATAGTACTTATTTAGATAAACATTTTAAACAATATAAAAATGACCCGATGAAATATTCAAAAACAGTGAAGCAGTCAAATTGTCCGAGTGAAGAAGGTTAATTTTGAATTTAAAAGTTTATGGTGCCTTTTTAATTTAAAAATTTTCTTTTTTCCTCATGAAATTTTCGCCAAGGTTTTCTAAGTGGAATCATGTTTCGTTCTTTTTACATATTTAACAGTAATTTTATGTGGCAGCTTCTATTGAAAAATATTTCAAAACAGAAATGCTGCCCAAAAATTTTGTAATGAAATATCCCCCAGTTTCTCCCGTTTATAAAAAAAAGAACCACAGCTCTCTTTTCTCTCAAATTTACTGCAAATTTTAATTTAGGAAAGCTTTTTTTTAATTTTTTCTAGGAATTAAAAAATTTTCTTTTCATTTTTAGACGATTCAATAAGTCAAAGCAGCAATCGTTCTCAGATCTCAATTAATTCTCGACATAATTATACCTTTCAATCGTTCAGGAAGCCTATTGGTAGAGCTGTTCGCGATTTCCTTCATAGAAAATAATTTATTTAAAAATTGTTTTTGTTTTGTTTTATAATCCTACAAATCTTTATAAATATTTAATTAAATAAATAATTAAATAATAATTTTTTTCTATAAACTGTTTTTACTTTTAAATATTTTATTATTTTTTAGTTTTCTTTGATAATTATTTATTTTTTAATGGTTTTAGAAAATGGGCATTGTTGAGAATTTACCTTTACAAATAACTGCTGGAGCTAAACGCCCTTCTTTTGCATTTTTATCAGTTACTGAAAGATGGCCAAAAATTATTGTTGGGATTGTTGATAGATTACACCGTTATTATAATAAAGCAATAGAAGAAGGTGGTCAGGTTTTAGTTTTAAAATTTTATTCTTAAAAGTCTCCGGTTAATTTGTCCTTGCTGTTTTTATAAAAAATTTTATCTGTAACAAAAGGGATTAATTGTAAAAATGGAATAATAAAGTCTAAATGTAAGAAACTCGCAAATATTCGCTCCCCACACCTCCCAACGTGATTTTGTTACTAGTAATTCTTGCCTGGCTTTGACAATGAGTTGCTATCAACATGATTGTTCACTACATCCTTGGTAAAATGAAAATTTTTTGGAAAATATTTTATTATATATAAGATTTCATTTTACCAAGGATGTCCATAATTTTTGATTGTAGACAGCTTTTATTAGAGAAACCCTTACAGATTACTTAATTGTAAGTGTAATTACAAAAAGCTTAATTGGACAAAAAGCTTAACTCCGTCAAACTTTTGGAACTCCCAAACTCAAAACCGACAAAATTTTAGAACCGTTAGCAGCCGTTTTTACTAAATTCTTTCACACACACCATTATAACTTTATATACAGGTTTTATTTACAATACAAACAAAAACAAGGTAATAATACATATGTACAACAATAGGCAAATTATTATGGAACGAGGATAATCGAATTATTATCACATTTACTATCCAACAGCATGTTCCTATCCAATCGGCTGATGATCATTCCTCCTCTTTGCTACTTATTCCGCGATCAACGGCACGTTCAGTTTGAACTCCGACGAACTTCCAGGAGGAAACAGCGCCTTTGCTTCAGTAGCATCTGCTGGAGCAGGAATGAAGTGAACTTCCAGACGACCATCAGCTTTCGGAGGGCCTTCCTGAAGAAACAAAAATTTATTTTATATGATCTTTTGCCTTCTTTCACCGTTCGACGCACAAGAACCGCAGCATTACCGGACGCGTCGACAAAACCGAATACGGGGTTGACACGGTAATGATCGTTGTCGGTGCACTTGACCTTGAAGGCATAGCGACCCTGTAAAAATTGAGATGGTTAAACTACATTAGAAGCCCTAAACACTAAATAAAATGATGCATACCTCAGCGCTGCTGTTCTTCAGCTGTAGCGTGATTTCACCTCCTGCAGCGGGCACCTGAATTGACTCCGGATCGAGCGATACTGCCATCTTTGAAGAGATGTTGTCGATCGTTGAAGTGTAGAGTAGAGCAACTGTAAAACCCGGAGATGGAGAGCGCTTTTATACTTAGATGCACGACGGTCATTCCAAAACACCGAAATATAAAGTAACTTATAACAACGTCAATGAATAATTCGACCCCGAAAAACTTCCAACTTCCTAAAAAATCTTTGACATGATTAAAATTCGATGCTATATTTCAAAATGCTAAGCGTGGCGGTTAGTAAAATTCTCTCTTGGAAGTTTTTCGGAGTCGAATTATTCATTGACGTTGTTATAAGTTACTTTATATTTCGGTGTTTTGGAATGACCGTCGTGCATCTAACTACATATAAAAGCGCTCTCCATCTCCGGGTTTTACAGTTGCTCTACTCCACACTTCAACGATCGACAACATCTCTTCAAGGATGGCAGTATCGCTCGATCCGGAGTCAATTCAGGTGCCCGCTGCAGGAGGTGAAATCACGCTACAGCTGAAGAACAGCAGCGCTGAGGTATGCATCATTTTATTTAGTGTTTAGGGCTTCTAATGTAGTTTAACCATCTCAATTTTTACAGGGTCGCTATGCCTTCAAGGTCAAGTGCACCGACAACGATCATTACCGTGTCAACCCCGTATTCGGTTTTGTCGACGCGTCCGGTAATGCTGCGGTTCTTGTGCGTCGAACGGTGAAAGAAGGCAAAAGATCATATAAAATAAATTTTTGTTTCTTCAGGAAGGCCCTCCGAAAGCTGATGGTCGTCTGGAAGTTCACTTCATTCCTGCTCCAGCAGATGCTACTGAAGCAAAGGCGCTGTTTCCTCCTGGAAGTTCGTCGGAGTTCAAACTGAACGTGCCGTTGATCGCGGAATAAGTAGCAAAGAGGAGGAATGATCATCAGCCGATTGGATAGGAACATGCTGTTGGATAGTAAATGTGATAATAATTCGATTATCCTCGTTCCATAATAATTTGCCTATTGTTGTACATATGTGTTATTACCTTGTTTTTGTTTGTATTGTAAATAAAACCTGTATATAAAGTTATAATGGTGTGTGTGAAAGAATTTAGTAAAAACGGCTGCTAACGGTTCTAAAATTTTGTCGGTTTTGAGTTTGGGAGTTCCAAAAGTTTGACGGAGTTAAGCTTTTTTTCCAATTAAGCTTTTTGTAATTACACTTATAGTAAGTATATGTATAAACAACAATTTTTTATTAACAGGAAAAAGGGGATGATGTCAAATCAGTTATTTCAAAATTGTCAGAAATGCGTTATCGAATGATGACTGACAAACCTTTGGAAAAAATTGTTGATGGAATGTCTGTTGATATTAAATATTGGAATGATGGAATTGATGAATTAACTAAAGTTTTTAAAAGGGAAAAAAATTTTCTAATTTTTTAAGGAAAAAGGGAAAGAAATAAATTGGTATGGAGGCCCTTGGCTTTTTGTTGAATGTTATATGTATTCAAAAATTCAAGAATTTTTTATTCAAACAAAAAATTTGAAATTTTATTATCCATTTCGAGAAGAAAAAGAGAAAAGTTACAAAAATAGTTTTAAATATTTGTTGGCAGTTGGAACGGAAATGGCTGATTTATTGGATAAAAACCATTTGACAACAAATGATTTGCGGGAATCTTTACTTAAATTTCTTCAGGTATTTATGATAGAAAAGTTAGTTTACAAAAGTTTTATCTTATCAATATTTTCTGTACTACAGTCAAATTTCTTTTCTAAATAAAGACACCCCCTAAACTAAAAAATCATCTTATAAGTAGGTTTATCTTAAATTGGGTAGGGAATCATTGCTGCAGATTTATTTAATAAGATCCCTCATCAAAAAATTTTTGACAAAGAAAATCAAAAAATAAAAGTAACATTCTCCCCTGCTTTCCTGTCAAAAACTTTTGGGAACACTTCTATAATTGAAATAATTTTATATTTTATTAAAAAAAATTAATTTAACAGATCTCACTTTGGGGCAATAAATGTGATCTTTCTCTTTCTGGCGGTGATCCTCATTTAATGTCAGAAAAGATTTTTCACGATTTGGATGATTTAAAACCAAATATTTTGGTTGATGATTTAGAATTGGCTGTAACTGAATTTCTCTCTCAACACAAACAAATAGATGTTGTTTTGGACAATGCTGGTCCTGAATTGTTTACGGATTTATGTCTTGCTGATTTTCTTATTTCAAATAATTTGGCAAATAAAATAATTTTACACGGAAAGGTATATTTACTAGATTTAAACATTTAATTTTATGAATGAAAAATAATTGCCAGGAATGCACCGAATTTTCGTTTTTTTGTTAATTTGTGATTTTTTTCGACATTTTTTTGATTGGAATTATCCCAGACATTTTTTGAAAATTTTGTTGAAGGAATTCAAAAGAAGAAAAATTAAGAATATTTTTTAATAATTTTTAGATTATTCCTTGGTTTGTTTCTGACACAACCAAACATGATTTAGAATGGTTGCTCGAACAATTATCTGCTGAAAGTGAACCTGTATTGGCTAGATTTGGAAAACATTGGAAGAATTATTTGACTAAAGTAATTTATCTTTAAAAAATTAATAAACTCTTAAACAAATTTTTAGGGAATTATTGAATATAAAACGCATCCATTTTGGACTTACGGTAAGAAATATTGCATTAAACCTTTTAAATTATTGGACGATTTAAGGCCACGCCTATTGCAGAATGAAAGAAATTGCACCAAATCTTTATGAAGAATTGAGCTTGTCTTCTATGTTAATTTTTAAGGGGGATTTGAATTACAGAAAATTGGTTGGAGACAGAGAATGGCAGTTAGAGACGCCTTTTAAGGTTAGAATAATTTTGGACGTGGGGATAAGAATGGCTCGAATTTTTCATTCTAATGTCCTTTCGTGTTTTCGAAATGAACCGAAAATATTTGGTTTTAGTTAGCGAAGTAAAATTACTCGTCGATATAAGCAAGAATATCTCTATAGCCCCAATAGTTGGTTGAATATGTTCCTCTGCCAAAAATAAAAAAAATTATTTTTCCAGACAGCCCTCTGCGGTTTTGAACCAGCACCTTTGCTAGCACTTAGAACATTGAAAGCTGAAACTGTAGCGGGTCTAACGTCAAAGGCCGTCCAATTGATTGAGAGCAAATTTGAGAGGAGTAACCTCACCTGGATGACTTCAAGTGAATATGCTGTTGTTCAACTTTTTGTTCCGGCCAAAAAATAGAAAATATTTTTATTAGGGGAAAAAATATAAAATATTATTGTTGGGATGTGATAATTAATAAGAAATATCTCAAAACATGCTCGAAACCTATCATTGTTTTCGGGGGTTTAACCAAATAATTTAGAAATAAAAAAATTATTTTTAGCCTTCCATTCCAACCAAAAAATCCGCAACATTTTCGGTTTCAAAAGAGGTTTTGAGTTTTACCCTAATTTATAGTATTGTAATTAGAATTTTAATTTATTTTTAAAGTAATAAAAAATTAAACGTTAAAAAAAACCAAAATGATCGCCGTCATTTCGCATACAAAAGCACTATTTCTAAGATTTTGTACGAGAAATACAGTAATCATGTGGATTTTTAATAAAATTTTAAAACAAATTTAAATTAGTTTTTATTAAACAGAAATTCAAGAAGTGAAGAAAATTTAAAAAATTTCAAAGGCTTCCCTAACAACCGCCCTCTAAACTGAATTTTTCTTCTAAAAGTTCAAAAATATACTGTCAAGGAAGCCTCCCAAATTTAATAATTTAAAGAATAATATAAATTTATAAATAAAATAATTTTGTATATAAAAATAATTTTGTATGAATATAAATCTGTCAAAACAATATACAGCAAATATACAGTCAGATCTCGCTGTAAAATACCCGCAGAACTAGAAGATATTCATGTTTAAATGTTCTTTTAAAATTTTGTTTTTTTTTAATTTTTTGCTTAAGCTACCCCATAGTTAAAATTCGTATTTTAACCCCAAAGTTCTGAATGTATACTTTCTTAAAATATAGGCAAGGTTAAAAGATATCACATTCGAAAAACTCCATATTTAGTCCTCTCCACATCCTCAGTTTTATATCCACAAAGTGTTGCTTGGAGAGCGAGACCGAGAACTTGCCTAGTATTGGCAGGGTCAATGACACCTTTTTAAAAAAGATAAAATCAGTATAAAAATTAAAAAAATAATCACCATCATCCCAGAGACGTGCAGAAGCAAAGAAGGGGGATCCCTCACGCTCAAAACGCTCTTCAACGGGTTGTTTGATTCTGCGTTCCTCTTCTTCAGTCAAAGGTTCAGAATCTGCTCCAGATTGTTTCCGTGCACGCTTTTCTCTTTGGATTTGGGCCAGAACATTGGCTGCTTGTTCACTACCCATGACAGAAATTCTTGCATTCGGCCACATGAACAAAAATCTAAAAATGAATGTTAAAAAATAGTAAAATATAAATTGATTTGGATTGGAATATTTAATTTTTTAACAAATTTTCTCTAAATCCCAAAAAGTTTGATAAAAATTGAGAAGTTATCTATATGAAATGATAACCAGAGCTGTTTTAAGACAAAAAAAATTTAAAAATCGAAATAAAACTAGAAAACCAAAATTTCTAAATGCTCTATTGCCACCAAAAAACAAAAATGTTATTTAAAAAATTCATTAAAAATAAATTCTACAGAATGCAAATTTTCCACAAAGACTAAGAAACCCACAAAATTTTCGGTTCGTTGTATAGCAAAAAAACCCAGGAAAGGATAATCCTCAAACAAATATAACCAATATTTCTTTAAAAAATATTTTTATACGGTAATATACTCATTTTTATTTTATTGGTTTTTGTTATTTTCAAGCAAACATTTACATACGGCTTACAATTAGGAATTTTAAAAAAGTTTTTATCACCCCATAAATTAGACAAATATTACCTAGGTGAATAAGCTCTTCCACACATTCCATAGTTCCCAGCTCCATAAGAACCTCCAATTAATAAAGTTAATTTTGGTACGTGTGCACAAGCAACGGCAGTAACCATCTTTGCACCGTGTTTAGCAATCCCTTCAGCTTCAGCATCACGTCCAACCATAAAACCAGTTATGTTCTGTTAAATGTTAATATTTAAATATTAAAATTAGGGATCAGGCAAAATCAAAATTTTAATCTCTTTTATGAGAAATTCGACAAGGTTAACTAACATTTTGTTAACAACCTTGTCAGCAACTAAACTCAACAAATTTGTCTATTGACGGCCAATATCCCCAACCAGGATAAAATATATTTTCAGGAATTTTAGAATGAGAATAATTAAAAAAACAAAGATAAATTTACCTGAAGGAAAATTAAAGGAATATTTCGCTGACAACAAAGTTGGATAAAATGAGCACCTTTCATTGCTGATTCACTTAACAAAACGCCATTATTGCCTGAGGGAGTTTATATGTTAAAGGAATAAAAGGAAAGCCGCTTACCAACAATTCCAACTGTGTGGCCAAACAAATGAGCGAATCCAGTTACCAAAGTTTCGCCGTAAAACTAAAAAGGAAATTTTTTAGTGTCAGGGCAATCTAACCAATGACCCAAATAAAAATACCTTATAACCAAAACTTATAAATTTAAATAACCACTAAAAAATTTTTTTTAAATTGACGGTCAATATAAGAAAACGACGGTGCTGTCCTTATCCCCGACCCGGATAAAATATACTTATTATATATCCCTTCCCCCATCCCCCCTTACTTGTTTAAATTCATTAAAACGAGATCCATCAACAATTCTTGCAATTATTTCTCGAACATCATAAGCCTTCCTCTGTTTTCCATCACTCCCAATAATTCCATAAATTTCATTAGAAGAAAATAAAGGCTCTTCTATTTGATTTTTTAATTCAAAATTTTGTTGTAAAGGTAATCCAGCAATAATTTGGCGAGCTATTGCCAATGCATGTTTATCGTTTCTTGCAAAATAATCGGTTACTCCGCTCTTCCGGCAATGTAAATCAGCACCTCCAAGTTCTTCAGCAGTTACCTAAAAGTTTTGTAAAGGAAAAATAAAATGTGATAAGGAGTAGAAAAGGATAAAAGAGTAGAAAAAACATATTCATTGAAAATTATAAAATTAAAATCAAAATATAATTGAACGCTAATTGCAAGAAATAAAAAATAAGGCTCATGAAGTTTTAAAAAGGGGCAAGCGGGAGAAACATAATTCAGTGGAAAAAATTGGATCTTAAATCCTTGGATCTTAAACTTCTCTTTATATGAACTATTTCTGGTATTGTTGATTTTTATACAATTAAAAAAACCTCCTCGCCAGTAGCAGCCTTCACAAGTGGAGGACCACCTAAAAAGACAGTCCCTGTTCCTTGAACAATAATTGATTGGTCAGCCATAGCAGGAACATAAGCACCTCCAGCAGTACAGGATCTATTTTTAAATTTATATTTGAATATTTAAAAACAGTAAATGTGAAATAAATGGACTTACAATTAGATATAATTTTAATATAAATTTGTTTTCATTTTAAGATAAAAGCAAATGACAGTTAAAAAGCCAAATGAAAATGAAATTAAAATGAAAATTTTATTTAGCACACTCACAAAGGTCCAAACATATTTAAAAAATATTTTCTGATTAGACCAAACCCGAGTGTGCAAATTGTTTCCTTTTCCTTATAAGTAAACAGTGTCGACAAAAGTTTTATATTTTCTGGTAACATTCAACAAATATTTTTATTATTAAAAAGTTTACCCCATAACAATTGCAATTTGAGGAATTCCTTCAGCTGACATTGTTGCTTGATTGTAAAAAATACGACCAAAATGTTCCCGATCAGCGAAAATTTCTGCTTGACGAGGTAAATTGGCCCCACCTGAATCAACCAAATAAATGCAGGGAAGTCTTTAATTGATAAAAAAAACTTTTAAAATTAATTTTGAAATATTAATACCTATTTTCTCTTGCAATTTCCTGCGCCCTTAAATGCTTTTTAACAGTAATGGGATAATATGTCCCTCCCTAAAAATTAATTTGAAAATAAAATTCTGTTCAAAAAAACTTTAACAGTCGCATCATTTGCCGTTATAACACAAAGTCTGCCTGAAACCATTCCCAAACCAGTAATAATTCCACCAACAGGCACTTTCTCCTCTCCATACAAATTATATCCAGCCAATTGTGAAAGTTCCAAAAAAGCACTTCCAGAATCTTTTTAAAAAATAAATAAAAATATTTTTTAAAAGAAAATAAAAACCAATTAAAAGTTCAACACGCTCTCTAGCCAACATTTTCCCCTTCTTTTTGTGATTAAGAATTGTTGATAGTTCAACGTCTTTTCCTTCAACAATTTGTGAAACAGTTTTGTTAAATTCGTCTAACTAATTTAAAAAAAATTAAAATTAAATAATAAAAAGTAAACAAACAATTTCAAGCATTTTTGCTTCGCTATGCCGAAATTCTTTCGTTTGTGGATTAATTGAACTTTGCAATGCTGGCCAGAAATTGGATTTTTTAACATTTGTTTGATGTAGATAAGCAACAGGAAAAATATTATTTCTGAATAAATAAATTAATTAATTAAAATATTTATAAAATAAACCTTTTAGATTGAAATCCAAACCTTTCAAAGTTTTTAAAAATAAAATTAAAAAACATTAAAATTCAGAAATTTACAAGAAAATTCAAAAAATTATTTTATCTTTGCTTGACATTTTGTACTATTCTCAACTTATTTGGCATTTTGAAAATATTATTTAATGTTTACATTTTGAAAAGTTAGATATCAAAAATACAAAATGCCTAAAACAAAAAGGGACAATTTAAAATTATTTTGAGGTTGGAAATTCAAAAGCCACAAATATCTTTTTAGCACACTATTTTCTTGTACTTTTTCACTCTGCCCTTTCCATTAGAGTCTGAATTAGGGGCAGTGCCATTGCCACATTTTTTTATTTTTATTATACTTTACTGCATATAATTTTAGATGACATCTTCTTCACCAAACTCAACAGATTCGGGATCAAAAATTATGTTCACTAGACAAGATGAATGGAAAAATACAGGGAGCCCAGATGGGGAAATCAAAGTTTTTCGACCGACAATGGAGGAATTTAAAAATTTTGGGAAATATATGGAATATATTGAGCAACAAAATGCTCATCTTTCTTCTGGTGTTTGCAAAGTGAGTAGATTTTGAAAAATCTATAGGGGAATAGCAATAAGCATTTTTAAATTTGCGAAGTGTTTTCTCTTCTTTTTTGATCTTTTGGATTATGACATTTTTTATTTAAATATATTTTTATTCGTTAAAGTTTATCTATTTTTCTTTTCATTACAAAAAATTAATTTAGGTTATTCCTCCAGAAGGTTGGTATCCAAGGCCTTCAAAACTGCCCGGCGATTACTCCGATATTGACGATTTTATAATTGAGTGTCCAGTGTATGTTTATTATTTAATTATTAAAAAAATACTTTATTGTGTTGAACTTCTGACAAGTAAACTTTGTGGGGAAAGTATTGTATTAAGTTGAAATTAACAGCTGGAATTTAACTCCGACAGTTTAGTGGGACAAAATGTCATTTTTATAACGTTAAGTCGTTTTGATTATTTAACATTTTTCACACCATCTTTCTTGTTTTTTACGAGATTTTTTAAATATTTATCGTGGAAAATGTCAATATTTTAATAAAGTATCGTCGATACTCCGTTTCCTTCCAGTTTTATATTTTTTAATTTTTCAGAAGAGAACGAATTGAAAGTATGGGAAACGGCTGTCATGTTAAAAATAATGTTGTTTACAGAAAAGAGATGAAAGTTAAAGATTTTCGTAGAATGGCTTTATCAAAACAATACGGAACGCCTCAAAAGAATTATGACTTGTACAATTTAGAGAAGTGAACTTTCTTTAGAAATTTTATTAAAGTTTATTTTTTAGACATTTTTGGCGTAATTTATTGCATCACGAACCTATTTATGGAGCAGACACGCCTGGTTCAATTTATGATTCAGATGTTAAAGAGTTTAATATGAGCTGCCTCGGAACGATTTTAGACTTGCTTAAGGAGGAAAAGGTTGGGATTTTTTGTTTATTATGTACAGAAAATTTGGGAGAATTTATTCCCACCTTCAATTTCTGTAGATTAATAGCAAATAGTTAGTTTGTTTATTAGGCCTTTTTCGAAAATTAGGCTCAAAGATTGAACGATTTTGAATTAACTGCGCATTATTGATAAATTTGAGTTGTCAGCAATTAAATTTAATTAATTATTTAGGTAACAATCAAGGGTGTTAATACTGTCTTTCTATATTTTGGCATGTGGAAAACAACATTTCCTTGGCATGCGGAAGACATGGATCTTTATTCAATAAATTATTTACATTTTGGAGAGGTTTAATTTTAAATAAAAATTTTTTTAAACTTTATTTTCTCAATTTAAGCCAAAATTTTGGTATGCAATTCCCTCTCATGCAGCCGAAAAATTTGAGAGATTGGCAGCTCAGCGCTTTCCTGACGGCTTACAAATTTGCAAAGCTTTTCTTCGACATAAACTTTATATTATATCCCCAACTGTTTTAAAACAAAATGGAATTCCTTATGGAACTATGGTTCAATACCCTGGAGAATTTATAATAAGTATATTTTATATTGAGTTATTATTATGCTATCGAGTTATCCGACCCTTAAATTTTTATTTTAAAAAACAAAAAATTAATTTGATAATTTTATTTTCGTCACAAATTTTCTTTGAACATAAATGCCGGGAATTCTTATTTAACAACAAAAATCTCGATTTTTTCCATTTAATTTACAAATTAAAAAAAAATTCATCTTTTTTTTAATTTTAGCTTTTCCAAAAGGCTACCATATGGGGTTTAATACTGGTTATAACTGTGCGGAGTCTACGAATTTTGCTTTGGAGAGATGGATTGATTATGGTTTTTTATTATTAAAATTTTTTAATTGGAAATAATAATTTAGGAAAAAATGCTGTTCTTTGTTATTGTCGAAAAGACACTGTTGAAATCGATATGCGACCCTTTATGAAGAAATATAGGCCTGAAGAATATCGGGAATGGTTTGTTTTTGACTAGAATTAAGTTTTAAAATATTTTTAAGGTTTGATTATTGGTATGGAGAAAGAGCATCAACTTATAGTTCGTTTCGTTTTTTATTTCTTAAAAATATTTTTGAATTCTATTTAGAACCTACAAAACCAGACACCATAAAAACTCGAAAACGAAAAGGTAGTCAAGATAGTGGCGGAGGGAAAAGTGAAACAGGCAGTGAAGACAGTTCAATAAATTTGCCTAGATCAATTTGTACGAAGCGTCAACGGAAAATTTTTCAAGCAAGAAAACCAATGTTTGACCTCTGGGCAAATCGTCCAGTCAATTTATTTGCTGAAAAAACTCATAATAGTCGTTGCGGCAAACTGTTTCCTCATTGTTGTGTCTGCCAATATTTTATATCTAAAGAAATTTGGAATTCGCTTCCGCCAGTGGAAAATTTGCCAAAAAGGTTTTTTTAATTATTGTTTATTTCTGGAGTAAAAACTGTTAAATTATAAAACTTTTAAATTTATACAATTTTTTACAATTTTTCTTTAAGTTCTCGACGTTATGTAACTGATCAAATGTTCTATAAAGAAAAGCACCTTAATCTTGATTTGACAATTTGTGAAGACGAACTTTTAGAATGCTCAAATTGTTATATGGTTGTACATAAAAATTGTTATCCTTGTGGAGGAACAAAAATAACACCCGAAAGTTTGTTTAGATTTTATTTTATACAATTTTATAAAATTTCATAGTGAATGAATGTTGGTTATGTGAACGTTGTTATAATCGGAATGATGTCCTTATCCGCACTACTTCATGTAGATTATGTGAACTTCGAGGAGGGGCTTTATTGGAATGTGAAGGAATGTTTGGTGAAGGAAGCGATTTTGTTCATGTTATTTGTGCATTAATGGATAGAGGAACTCGTTTTTTGAAACCTGAAAATCGTTCTGCTCCATTTAGTCCTCCACCTAAAAGGTTATTAACAACACAGTCATCTATTTCGGAAAGAAATGGTTCTAGTCCAAATTTGCTTCAACAACAGACACCTATTATTTCAAATACTTTAAATGTTGATTCTTTTGGTGATTCAGGGATCTCTGAAATGTTTGAAAATTTTATTGGATATTTTAATGGGAAGTGGAACTAGGGAACGCGGCCAATAAGGCCAATCGCGTACATTATACATAAATTTATTTCTTTTTTTAGTAAATCGCCAATAACTTTTACTCCATTTCAATGTCTTTCACCATCCCAAAATGATGTTAATAACACTTATTTGAATACCTTTGTTGAATACAAAGAATGTTCCCCATCCTCAAGTTGTCATTCACTACCAATTCCCTGCCAAGAATTAACTGTTGCAATGAGGAATTCTAATCAACAATTTTCTGAATATTCGGCAAGCTACGAATGCGAAGGTTTTTTTTATTTAATATCGTTGCCGTAAGCGGTAGAACTTCTATTTCGGAAAGAAATGGTTCTAGAAGAATGTGTTTTACTTGATCAAAATTCCCTTAATTTTTTCGATTTTGAAGTAAATGGGCAAGAGGGTTTCAAATGACTCTAACTCGATTTTTACTTTTTTTTATTAGTTTGTGGCCAACAGTCAGAACATCTTATTCGTTGCAATATTTGTCTTTCAAGTGAAGAAGTTGGTGCAAAACTTCGTTTTCACATTACTTGTGCTCCACTTGCTGATGTTACTTTTGAACGAAGACATTACCCAGAAAATGTTATTGCTGTATGTTCCTTTCATCACAGTGATCAACAAGATGATCCAGGTTTTTTTTTAATATTTTTTCTAAATACATATTTTGAATTTCTTTTAGTCTATACTGATGTCCAAAAATTTCAAATTAATCAAGAAGTTATTGTTCATCAAGAAGGTGATGACAACGAAGAAAATCTTACCGGTGTTGGCCGTATTGTTGGAATAACAGAACATTTATGTGCTACTGTTGATTTTTTGGATGGAACAATATCAGGAGATCTTTTTCTTGGAGAAATTAGAAATTGTGAATGTAAATGGTTTGGATGTAGTGGTGGATCACACATTCCTGGATCATTAGTATTTTCTTAGATATTATAGAGAAATCATCTAAAATTCAAGGTTTACGTTGATTGGCCTGATGAAAAGATCTATGAAGCTTATTACCGTGGAAAAATGCCAAAGCCCCGATTTAAAATAAAATTAACGCCGCCGTTTAGAACACCAAATGATGATTTGATTGAAGTATTTTCTGGATATTTTTTTAAAATTTTTGATTTTAAGGTCGGAGCAGAATGTATTTATTTTGGGGATGAGCAACTTCCAGAGGGTGTGCACGAACATTTGAGGAATGCTTACAGAGGCTCACAACAATCTATCTAATAAAAATTTAATAATTGTATTTCTGACCTAAAAACTTTGCTGCTTTCACAATAGAACCAAAGCTTTCGAATTTTAAAATTTTTCACATTATCTAATATTTTTAAAATTTGTCTTGTTAAATTAGTTTATTTTTTGGTAATTTGACGATAAAATGATCGATTCATGAAGAATTTCATGTAACCTAAAAAAGGTGCTAACGAGTTGGAAGGTATCAAATCTATTTTCGGATCGTAGATTTCATATTGTAGCGTAGAAACGTGTCATGAAATTCAAAAGTAGGCAATAAAATCTAAGAGTAATTGTAGACGAAGAATGGTGGAAACAATAAAACACAATTACTATTTTATTCTAGTTAAGGAACTATGTTAGAAAGCTAGTCTTATAAAGCATCAATTTCAAGAGTAGTTGTAGTAATTAGATAATTCCACTGTCTAAACAAATAAAAATTAAACATTAACAATTTATCTCAAGACAATTTAACAGTACTGAATTTATAAAAAATCACTTCTTAACAACTCCTTTAGTCTTCAACAATTTGCTAGCAATTTGTTGTTCCTCAACCTAAAAATTGTATTAAAGTTAATTGTAAACTAGATTAATTAAAAATAACCAAAAATGCCCGGATAATTCGCTGGCGAACGGCAGCAGCGCTCAAACAACCTCCGTATGCACGGGTCACAGTTTTAAGTCGTTTAGTCATCTTAGAAAGTTGACGAGGACGAGCAGCTTTAATCTAACGAGATAAAAAAAGTTTATTTAAAAATAAATTCAAAGACAAACTCCTTTAAGTGGAACGCCAGTATCACCACATTTGGGAATTGATCCTTTCTTTTTGCGATAATGAAGAACATTGCGGCCACCAGGAGTTTTGACAACTTTTGTTTTGTTAGATTTTGTATTGTAACATAATCTTCGACGATAAGTTAAACGTTGAGGCATTTTTTGTTTTTCTAAACGTTAAACAGAATCTAAACAAATAATTAATAGTTTAAAGATAAATATGAATCCCGACAAATTTTTTAAAACCGCTAGATCTTCTAAAAAAATCCGGAATCCCTAAAGAAATGCGAGAAACAGAAAACGAGAAAAAAATTTTAGAATTGACACTTTTTTGAGGGACACGCCCAAGTATGCGCGCGGCCATAACGGCGCAAAGCCATAACTTGCTGGAAATCTCCTGGTCTTAATCAACTTTGGACCAATCTCCTTAGCTCGATGAGTGGAATTGTTTAATACTAAATTTGGTAAGATTCAGAAATCTTGAAGCAAGTTATAGCTTTGCGCCGTTATGGCCGCGCGCCTATTTGGGCTGTAACCCTTTTTTGGTACATGGCACATTTAATCGCGACTATTTTCAAGCCCATTTAAACGCAAAGCATGCAAACCAAAAATTCTGCTTATTTTGCATCCATCTGTGTCTCTTCTCTTTTCAAATTTCTTAAAAATGTGCAGCTATTACATTTGTTTAAAAACTATTTTTGATTGAAGGGTACATTCTCACTCCCAATCACTTTTTGGAAATCCCATTAGAGTCTTACAAATAAAGGACGATGACTCACACCGAAAGAGAGTCTCAGACTCTAATGCGCATTTCCTTCCGGAGATCGATTTTTCTTTTGTAGTTTGTCAGTAAAATTTAGACTGGCACTAGAACGTGGAATTGTTGCAAAGAATAACTTAAATAATTTCCACGTGTTTATAGAATATGTGTTAATTTATCTTTTAAAAATTCCCCAATTTTTTTAGAGAAAATTAATTTAATTACAACGGTTCCTTTATTTCGTCCAACTTTATTTAATAAATTATTACGTTCTTCGATCTCTGTTTTACATCGTAATAGAATTATTAATAATACAAAAATGGACCCAGAAGAAGCTGCTAAAGAAGAGGCTGCAAAAAGAGATCATCGCAAAATTGGGAAAGATCAAGAGCTTTTTGTTTTTATTCCTATGAGTCCTGGATCGGTAATTAATTTTTTTTTATTTTTACTTTTTTTAAAATTAATTTTAAGGCTTTTTGGTATCCAAAAGGAACGTTTATTTATAATACGTTGGTCAACTTTATGAGACAGGAGTATCGAAAAAGAGGCTTTTTGGAGGTTTGTTTTTTAATACTTGTTAATTTGGGAGGGCCCCGTAATTGGGGCATGTTTTTGTGATGAATTTAGAATTCGAACAGATTTTTGTGTTTTTCAATAATTTCTCACAAATTTTTTGTTTCACAAATATTTTTCTTTTTAACAGGTAATGACGCCGAATATTTATAATGTTAAACTTTGGGAGCAGTCTGGTCATTGGCATCATTATGCTGATAATATGTTCAAGTAAATTTTTGAATTTTTTTACATGTCATTTACATAAATATTTGAGATTTGAAATTGAAAAGGAGCAATATGGTTTGAAGCCGATGAATTGTCCTGGGCACGTTTTGATGTTTGATCATAAGCCCCGTTCTTATAATGAGCTTCCGATTCGTTATGCCGATTTTGGTGTTTTACACAGGTTTTTTTCTTCATATGGTTGGGCAATATCCTTAATGTTTAGGAATGAAATGAGCGGCGCTTTGGGAGGTCTTACAAGACTGAGACGTTTTCAACAAGATGATGCTCATATTTTCTGTCGTTCTGATCAATTAGCGGATGAAATTACGGCTTGCTTGGATTTTTTAAATTTTGTTTATGTTGACGTTTTTGGATTCTCTTTCAAATTATTTTTGAGTACGCGGCCGGAAGAAAGCTATTTGGGAGATATATCTAGTTGGGAATTGGCCGAAAAAGAATTGAGTGGAGCATTAGAAAGTAGTGGGCATGATTGGGAGTTAAATGCGGGGGATGGAGCTTTCTATGGGCCTAAGGTTTTTTTGAACTTTTTTAATTTTTAGATTTTTAATTTTAGATTGACATGCAAATTGTAGATGCTCTCGGCCGTTATTGGCAAACTGCTACAATTCAATTAGACTTTCAACAGCCTCAACGTTTTGATTTGCATTATTTTGAGTAAAAATTTTTTTATTAAAAATTATTTTAGTGACAAGGAAATGGAATTCTTTAAAAAGAATTTTTGCGACTCAGGGCCTCTTAAAATCCCCTTAAAATAAAAAATGCGGAATCCTCGTTCGGGACTGGTTAATACTCTCTATAAATATTTTTTCAGTGAGAACAAAGAGCGACATCGTCCTGTTATGGTAAGTATTCCACAAATTTAAATTCTCTTAATATTGGCACTTCGAGGAAAAGAATGCCTGATAAATTTTTTCCTTGCTTCCTATTTTTACCTATACTTTCTCATTTCAGAGTAGTTTGATACGGTCAATTTTCCTTTATTTTTAATTTTTATTCTCTTAATGTTAAAAGAGGATGTATTTGACTTTTTAAAATCTGAAAAAATTTTTCGATTAAACACTCCCTTCCTATTACTTTCAAAATATTTTTTAACAGATTCATCGAGCTATTCTCGGCTCTGTTGAAAGATTGATTGCAATTTTGGCTGAAAACTATGCTGGAAAATGGCCGTTTTGGCTTTCTCCTCGACAAGCAAAAATTATTTGTGTTCATCCAAATATCGTTGATTATGCTACTCAAGTTAAAGAAAAAATATTTAATTCTGGATTTGAAATAGAATTTGATGAAGATTGTCCAGATACTTTAAATAAAAGAATTAGAAATGCACAATTGGAACAATTTAATTTTATTTTGGTTGTTGGGAAGAGAGAAAAGGAAAACGGGACGGTTAATGTTCGCACGAGAGATAATCAGGTAAAACGTTTATTTTAAAATTATTTTTTTAAAGAACAATTAGGAATTATTTTTAAATATTTTCTGACATTTGAACTGCGAAGCCCTTGTTCCTTCAACTTTTAATTTTTTTGTTAGCTTTTCTAATCTAAAAATGAGAAAGAAATTCATAAATTATTAAAAATATTTTTAAAAATTCTTTTTCAATCTTACACAAAATTTCAGGTTCGTGGTGAAATGAAAGTTGAGGATTTAATTAAGAAATTTGCAAAATTCCGAGATACGTTTGCAAAAGATACAGAAAGTGCTGAAGCTTTTGTTGAAGAAAATAATAAAGAAGAATAAAAAGGAAGAGAAGAATTTGTTGAGACTTTAAATATTGGCTTCTTAATTACGTATTTATTTAAAATGATGGAAAAAACATTCTCAACTTAAAAAAATTATTTTGTTATTTAAATTGTGTGTAATATGTGAATAAATGTTTTGAATTAATAAAATGAGTTTTGGAAAATAAGATTAAAGGGGAATTTTGTATAAAATTTTATAAACCTTCAAATGGGCTTTAAAGAAATTTAAGTTGGTGTTAATTTAGTTTCACATTCTAGTTTAGTGGAGATATTTTTAAAATGCTCAACCCCACAGTTAGGATCGGTTATACGCCTACAAACTGAGTGCCGGCCGAATTTGATAGGCTTTAACTTTTTGATGCTTGATCGCATTACCTAAATCTAAATTTCAGATTAATTGGGTAATTAAAATCCTAGTATTTTTATTTCCTTTTTAATGATTAATTAAAATGTCACATAAACTGAAATTTTAATAATAAAGTTTTCTCTACATTTTTAAAAAGTTTTCAATTTTATTGTCCTCTTCTTGTTTTTCCTCCAATGAATTTCTTAAAAAAAGAATTATTATTATTATTACTATTCTCCTTTCAACTTTTTTTATTTATTCATAACTACATACCTCCAACATTTTTATTTCCTAGCAATCCCCAAATAACCTCCTACCAACATTTGAAAACAAAAGAAAAAAAAGACTGTCCTCCTCCTCCTCCTTCCCCGTAGCTTCTTCTTCCCCTTTTATTTTTATCTACTGCCGCCATCTCCAATTTTTTAGCCGAGCCCTTTTATTATTCTCAGGAATGCCTTGGCTATTTCTTTCCTTTTTAATGTAAAGATATCTTTAATGCCAAGATTTGACCAAAGAAAGCAATATATATACTTTTTATTAAAAAAAAGAAACTGAGAATTTCTTAGAAAATAAAAATATTTTTATTTTAATAATGTTTGTTTTGTTTTTATTTTTGTTATCTCCAACTTGAAAACAAACTTCTTGGGTACACCCCCAACTTACCGCCGAGGCTATAACATCGTTCAGAATTGTCGAATCCGGGATGTATGGTATGGTTAGATTCAGCTGGTCGAAGCGTATCGAACCATACCAAGGCGTCCCGGGTTCGACTATATTGGACAAAGTTATAGCCCCGGCGGTAGGTTGGACTCGCGGTAAGTTTGCCTGCTCCCAAACTTCTTGTTGGAAAAATAAACTTTAAAATTTGGATTGTTGTCATTATTCAGTGAAAAAATAAAGAAAAACTTGTCTGAACACTTTTCTTGTTTTAAAAATTCTTGTCTAAATTTAAATTTAATTTCTCCTTATTTACTGCTTAAAATCATTATATTTATCTTTCCAATAATTTAATTACAATAAATATTTTTTCCTCATTAAAAAATTTTTTAAACCTCCTCTCTTTTTTGTTTATTTCTTTCATTGTTTTTTTAAATAGGAAATGAATTTTAAACAAAGGAATTATTTAAAGCTTTGGCGCCAATGAAAGGAAAAAAGGAAAGAGGGAAAAGTACATAAAAGGGAAAATAATGTCAACCATCTACTCTCTTTTTTAAACGTGGGAGAATCTTTTCTAGAAAAATACTTTTTTTGTTTTAAAAATTTGGTAAAAAATTCCTTTTCTTTTGCCATTTTCTCACAATTAAATAAATAGTTTTTGTTAACTTTCTATTGTAAAGCTATAGCTATTTAATTCCTAAGGCTGAGCAGTAGGCGGCGTGGTGTTATGGCTAACACATCAGTCCAGTCTACTGAAGATGCTGGTTCGCTTCCAGCCGCCGAATAACCTTTTGCACTAGCTAAAGGAGAGAAATAGCTATAGCCCAGCTCCGCTTTACTCTATTTTGAATTTATTCAACTCTCGTCATACAAGAGCTAAGCAAAGGTTTAGCTCTTGTATAACGCTAAACAACAGGAAATGAACCTGTGAACCTTCTGACAAATTATTGTTAGTAGCTTTGCCAATCATTCTTTTAGTCGCTTTACTAACTGAGCTACTGTGGAAAATTTCCTTACAGTAAATAAATATTTCTTTTTGTCTTATTTTGAGTTTCTGAATTCTAATAAATTTCCTTATTAAAATTTTTATTTTTTCGAAAATCCATTCCTTTAAAATGAAAGAAAGCTTCAAATAAAAAATATAAAATTTATTATTATCTATAATATTGCGTGCTCGAGTATTTTTAAGAGAAACTTTAGAAAATGTAAATATTTCTATTTATTTTTCCCTCATTTAAATGATTAATTAATTTGTGTCTTTTTTACTTTAGAAAAAAAAGTTTGGCATAAATAAATAAATAATTACTATATTCATTTTTGCTTATTATTTTCCTTCTCTTTCATTTAAAAACTTTCTAGTTATTTAACCAACTTTTTTTGTTAAATTTTACTAAAAAATACCTAAAAACTTTTAAAAGGTCAATAAATAAATAAACTTTTATTCTCTTTGTTGGCAACATATTTATTTTTGTTGTCAATTTTTCGGTCTATTTAATAATAAAAATAAAGCGAAAGTTTAAGTTAAACAAAGCGGAAATGTGTTTTTGGTCCGAAAAAGTTTGAAGAATGTTTTTGACATTTTAAATAAAATAAAATATTTTTGTCAGTCCAAACCAGTGCCAGTGCTGGGAATTGGGACTGGGCCGTTTTGGCGCGGGGCCGTTTTGGCGCGAGCTTATAAGATAGCGAGTTGATTATCAAAAATGATAAAATTTTGTAATAATAACTCTCGTACCTTTATCTAAATTCTCCAAAAATTTCAGAATTTTTGAGCAAGAGTTTTAGAAATTATGGCCAAAAATGTTGATTTTCTGAAAAATGCCTAATTTTTCGAGGTCTATCGACTATAACTTCAAAAATATTTGATGAAAAATTCTGAAATTTTTGGAGGAGGTAGTCAAGGATGTTACAGAAATTTGGCAAAATTTTTATGAATTTAGGTCTCGCCTACGTACCAGTTTTTAGTTCTCGCGCCAAAACGGCCCGGCGCCAAAACGACCCCAACCCCTGGGAATTTGCCATTTGTTGGCTCCGGCTCTGCCGGAGCCCGGCTCCGGTGCCGGGCTCCAGAGCTAGTTCCCGGGGCCGTACCCAGCACTGGTCCAAACCTCATTGTTTAGTTAATTTAAAGTAGCCTATATTTTCAAGATATTTTTTATTTTTTAATATGATTAGGTAGTCATTGTGTAGGGAAGGGGCTCCGAGCGATACCTCTTATTTATTGTAAGTGTAATTACAAAAAGCTTAATTGGACAAGAAGCTTAACTCCGTCAAACTTTTGGAACTCCCAAACTCAAAACCGACAAAATTTTAGAACCGTTAGCAGCCGTTTTTACTAAATTCTTTCACACACACCATTATAACTTTATATACAGGTTTTATTTACAATACAAACAAAAACAAGGTAATAATACATATGTACAACAATAGGCAAATTATTATGGAACGAGGATAATCGAATTATTATCACATTTACTATCCAACAGCACGTTCCTATCCAATCGGCTGATGATCATTCCTCCTCTTTGCTACTTATTCCGCGATCAACGGCACGTTCAGTTTGAACTCCGACGAACTTCCAGGAGGAAACAGCGCCTTTGCTTCAGTAGCATCTGCTGGAGCAGGAATGAAGTGAACTTCCAGACGACCATCAGCTTTCGGAGGGCCTTCCTGAAGAAACAAAAATTTATTTTATATGATCTTTTGCCTTCTTTCACCGTTCGACGCACAAGAACTGCAGCATTACCGGACGCGTCGACAAAACCGAATACGGGGTTGACACGGTAATGATCGTTGTCGGTGCACTTGACCTTGAAGGCATAGCGACCCTGTAAAAATTGAGATGGTTAAACTACATTAGAAGCCCTAAACACTAAATAAAATGATGCATACCTCAGCGCTGCTGTTCTTCAGCTGTAGCGTGATTTCACCTCCTGCAGCGGGCACCTGAATTGACTCCGGATCGAGCGATACTGCCATCCTTGAAGAGATGTTGTCGATCGTTGAAGTGTAGAGTAGAGCAACTGTAAAACCCGGAGATGGAGAGCGCTTTTATACTTAGTGTTAGATGCACGACGGTCATTCCAAAACACCGAAATATAAAGTAACTTATAACAACGTCAATGAATAATTCGACTCCGAAAAACTTCCAAGAGAGAATTTTACTAACCGCCACGCTTAGCATTTTGAAATATAGCATCGAACTTGACGGGTAGCAATCTCAAAGCTGTTAGTAGGTAATCGGGGTTGCTCCTGCATCACCTTAATAACAAGTACATAGGAAGAATAAATGGCTACCAACTTTATATTCTGATAATTCTTTAACTTTCTATAAAATAATCCTTTTTTGTTCAATAAACGCTCTCGTTATTCAAATTTATGATAGCATTTAACTCTTGACAAAAAATTTTTTAAACTCATTTTTTAAAATACGTCTTTCATCCAAATACAAGGTGTGTTCTACATAGGAGAGAGAAGTGTGCGAAGCTGCCGCTGTAGATCAAAATAGTTATACTAAACTAACAGCTTTGAGATTGCTACCCGTCAAGTTCGATGCTATATTTCAAAATGCTAAGCGTGGCGGTTAGTAAAATTCTCTCTTGGAAGTTTTTCGGAGTCGAATTATTCATTGACGTTGTTATAAGTTACTTTATATTTCGGTGTTTTGGAATGACCGTCGTGCATCTAACACTAAGTATAAAAGCGCTCTCCATCTCCGGGTTTTACAGTTGCTCTACTCTACACTTCAACGATCGACAACATCTCTTCAAGGATGGCAGTATCGCTCGATCCGGAGTCAATTCAGGTGCCCGCTGCAGGAGGTGAAATCACGCTACAGCTGAAGAACAGCAGCGCTGAGGTATGCATCATTTTATTTAGTGTTTAGGGCTTCTAATGTAGTTTAACCATCTCAATTTTTACAGGGTCGCTATGCCTTCAAGGTCAAGTGCACCGACAACGATCATTACCGTGTCAACCCCGTATTCGGTTTTGTCGACGCATCCGGTAATGCTGCGGTTCTTGTGCGTCGAACGGTGAAAGAAGGCAAAAGATCATATAAAATAAATTTTTGTTTCTTCAGGAAGGCCCTCCGAAAGCTGATGGTCGTCTGGAAGTTCACTTCATTCCTGCTCCAGCAGATGCTACTGAAGCAAAGGCGCTGTTTCCTCCTGGAAGTTCGTCGGAGTTCAAACTGAACGTGCCGTTGATCGCGGAATAAGTAGCAAAGAGGAGGAATGATCATCAGCCGATTGGATAGGAACATGCTGTTGGATAGTAAATGTGATAATAATTCGATTATCCTCGTTCCATAATAATTTGCCTATTGTTGTACATATGTATTATTACCTTGTTTTTGTTTGTATTGTAAATAAAACCTGTATATAAAGTTATAATGGTGTGTGTGAAAGAATTTAGTAAAAACGGCTGCTAACGGTTCTAAAATTTTGTCGGTTTTGAGTTTGGGAGTTCCAAAAGTTTGACGGAGTTAAGCTTTTTGTCCAATTAAGCTTTTTGTAATTACACTTATAGTTAAGATATTTTATTATAAAATACTCTTATTTCGGCTTCAAGGAAGTATCTTTTAATTAGGCCTGAGTTTATAATAATTACTAATTTTTTTTATAATTTAATTTTTTTAATTAGATTAAATGGATTTATTAATTCTTTGTTGTTTTGGTGGTGTTCCTTTTATTCAATTTCCCTCCTCCCCCTCCTCTCCTTCTTCAAAACAACCTTTAGACAGAATTAGGCATCAATGGGACCCCACAGATTGGGTTGCTGTTGATGTTACTGGTTTGGATAATAAATTATTTTTTTCAAAATTTTTTTTTCTTTTAAAAGATTCTCTTTTATTTACAAACAATTCTTCTTTCTCCTTCCCTTCTTCATTAAATCCTTTATTGAAAAACATATTGCCTTCGGATATATCAACAATTAATTTAGAACAATGTGACCTTTGGAATTTAACTTTTGCTTCTAATGCAGATAAACATTTATTTAAAAAAAGTCATGGAAAACTTAAATGCAGGTAGTTAGCTGGAAATTAATAAAAAGAAAATTCTTAAAAAGAATTTTAATAAAATATTTTTTAAGTCAAATCCCTTCCCTATCAACCCTTAAAAATCAAACAATTTTCTAATTTAAATCCTCCTTTAATTTAAATTTTTTTCTACGTTTTTGTTTAAAAAAGCCTTTTTCCCCATTTTCAATCAATGTGTGCCAACAAACTCCACCTCCCCCCCCCCCCCCCCTCTTCCTCTTTTCATCATTATTTTTTAAAAAAGATAACAAAAATTCTCTTTTTTTATCTTTTTCGGCTAAACTACAGTTTCCGTACCAGGCTCAGAATTGAACGATTTATATGTCATTCGAAAGAGCTCGTCGAGCTGAGTCGAATGACACCAAAATTTTTCAGCGGAAAAAATTCTGAGCCGAGTTACAGACCCCTAAGTTCAAAAAACCATAGGGGGGACCAAGCTGTTTTCTGGGGGTGAAAAATTCGAATATGCAAATTATACGTCATTCGAAAGAGCTCATCGAGCTGAGTCGAATGACACCAAAATCAATGAAATCAGACTTGATTTGACAAAGTTATGCTCGTTTGTTTTAGCTCCTTACCTTTGTTCTCCGTGGATGTTCTTGCTGCTGCGGAGGAAGCTGGGCATGCCCATCACAGCGATAATTGGAATAGGATTAAGTTACGAGCCCAAACCCAGAGCCCGTAGACTCCCCGCGAGGCGCGTGCCGCAAAACTCCGCGCGAAGCGCGGAGTTTTGCACAAGCGCCTCGCCGACGCCCCATAGGTTTACGTTGTTTTTTCTGTCATAACTTTGAACAAACTTGACCAATCACGGCGATTTTGGTGTCATTCGACTCGGCTTGAAGAGCTCTTTCAAATGAGCTATTAATTGCATATTCGAATTTTTCACCCCAAAAATCATCTTGGTCCCCCCTATGGTTTTTCGATTTTCGGGGGCCTGTAACTCGGCTCAGAATTTTTTCCGCTGAATAATTTTGGTGTCGTTCGACTCAGCTCGACGAGCTCTTTCGAATGACATATAAATCGTCCAATTCTGAGCCTGGTACGGAAACTGTAGTTAGGCCTCTTTTTCTCCTTTACTTTTTCCTTAAGCTTCTTTTACTGGCCAGCTGTCAATTTTTATATGGAAAATTAATTTTTGATTTTTTAAAATTTATTAAAATATTTAAAGGTGTCCATTCGAATATATTGGAATATCCTGTCAACAACAAAAAGCTAAAGAGAAAACAACCAAAACATTAAATAAAACAACAAACAAAACTTTAAACAACAAAACATTCCCCTCTTCCCCTTCCTCTTCCCCTCCCTCTCCTTCACTTTTAACCAACTTAACCACCAACCAAACATTCAAAACAATGGCTTTAATTGGGAGAACAACAACAACATTTTCTGGAAATTCTTTTATTTGGTTTTTACTTGTTTTTATGGTTTTGGCTTTAATTATGGTTTCTTTGTTTATGGTAAGGAAAGGGGGGGGGGGGGCAAATTAAATTTTTTAATTTTTCAAAAAATTTCAGTAAAATTATTTTTAACTTTATTTATTTATTTAGCCTTTATTTTCTCTTTTTTTATTTATTTATTGTTCTCATATTTTTTTCCTAAACATTTTTTCTTCTTGTAATCTTTTAAAATAAAACAAAAGAAAATAGGAAAAGGATTTTCGCGCGCTTTTATTTTTATAAAAAAGAGAACAGCCGGAAAAGATTTTTTAAAAGAAAAATATTTTTATGAGATATTAAATAACTTTCTGGAACTTTTTTTTGTTTCTTAAAAATTCTTTTTAATTTATTAAAAAATAATACAGTCTAATTTCACTATAAAATGCATCCAATATTTAGATAAATCTTAATGAAAGATGTTATTTTTGGAAGTTAATTGGCTGAGTAGGGGAGCGTATTCTGGGTAATTTTCGAATATTTGGATCCAGAATTGAGAATGGTACTTATCGGTTATTCGCCCACAAACCGGGTGCCAGCCGAATTTGATAGGCTTTAACTTTTTGATCCCTGATCCAATTCACATAAATCTTTTATCATTCAAAAGCCCTCGATAAGTACCCTGAGAATTTTGATTAAAGTAGGGACGATTGTTTTGTGACGGAGAGAGAGTCTTGGGGGATTCTAAGCTTGGACCTTAAGCTACACTCTCTATTTAATTATAAAATATTATTTTTAAAACCCCAAGGGTAAAAAATGAGGTTTTTATGCCTAATTTCCATATATTTTTTTTTCTTTCCATTAAAAATACCAATATATTTTTTGAGGGAATTTTATCTCTTTTGTGTAGCTTTTTTCATTTTCAAAACAGAGTTAGAGAGTAATTTCTGGCCTTATAGCCAGCCGCTTTCATCGATTCCTTTTTGCCATTGGCTTTTTTCTTATATTTTTTAAGCTAAATATTTTTTAAAAAATTATTTTTAACTAAAAAAATGCATTAAAAGCCTTTTTTCCATTTTTTATTTTTACAAAAAATGAATAATTTAAATAAATAAATAGATACTCTTTTAATGGGGGAAAATGATAAAATCTTTTTTTACAAAAATTGGAGTTTTAATTTAAAAATATTTTTTAATTAAAAATATTTTATTTAAAAAAGCTTTTCATTTTGTGAGCAGTTGGCCCTTTATTTTTAATTTTCCCTTTTTATATTTTCCTTGAAATATCAAAACAAAAATTATAAAATTGTTTTGAACAAATATATTTATTTAAAAGAATTTTTGATTTATTTTTAAATCAAAAAAATTTTTTTGCTAAAATTTTATTACAGTCAAATCTCACTATAAAATACCCCCTTTGAAGCCTAAAAATGATTTATACCGATATAGGTATTCGTATCTTAAATAGAAGGTTATTTAATATTGGGGGTCTCCTATAGTGAAGGAGGCAGAGACTATACATATTTTTATTAAATTTCTTTCTTTTCAGATGTTCAGGGGTTGTTGTTTTTGTGATTGTTTTGGGGGAATTCCAAATAACAGGCGTTATGATCAACCATTAACTCCACAAACAATAAATCGTTGCATGAAAGCTATTAAAGAACATGAAAGGGAGGAAAAGGCTAAGTATTCGGCAAGTGGAGAATGGGTAAATAAATTGTATTTTTGAAAATAAAACGAAATTTAAAAAAATAGTTAAGAAGGGAAGAAGATTCTGTAATAATTTATTATTATTGAGAAAAATTAATAAGTTGGAATTTCGCTGATTCCGGTTCGAATCCTGTTGGTGGTCATTAATTTTTATTTTAATGTTTTGAAGTAGTTTAGATTAAATGTTTTTTTGGGGTTTTTAACAAGAAAACAATAAAATTTTGGTGAACCTTTCCTAAATTATTTTGGGAATTTTAAAATTATTTTTTAATTTTTTCTTTATTTTTTTGCTTAAAAATAATATTTACCTAGAAAATAAAATTTTTATTTTAATTAATTTTAATTTTTTTAGTCAATAGCCCCACCACCACAACAACACTCAACATCATTTAATAATAATTGTATGGTTATAGATTCACGTCGACCATTATTACCACAACAAACAACAACAAATTCAATTTCATCAATTAGCGAAACTATCCCCCCTCCAAATATTCGTGCCTGTTCTCCTCCACCATCTTACCGTTCTTCTAATGGAAGTATTGACAAAATTAATAAATAATGAAAGACCAAAAATATTTATAAAGGCATTCTCTTTATTTTTCTCTCTCGGCATTTAATTTTCAGGAATTTTAATTATAGAAATTTTCTTTAAAATAATTTTTGAAGCATTTACAATTTACTACTAGTCATAAAATTATTATTTTTAGAGATGTTCAAAACCAAAAATTTACCAGGAATTAAGACTGAATTTTGAACGTCTCTAATATGTATATATTCTCCATTACATATATATTTAATACATTAGCCCAATTTAATAAATTTTTATTCAAATTTCATTACTTTAATTCTTTTGGAAATTTTTAAATAAAGTTTTTTTACAATTTTTTTCGAATTTTAATTTAAATAAAATATCACCGAAAAATCCTTTCATGAAAAAATACCGTATAATTTAAAATTTTTTTGACCTAATGTCATCACTAGAAAATCGACAATTGATTTACTAGCCATTTTGAAATTTATTTTTTTAAATAGAAAATTCCGATGACATATGTATGAGCAAAATTTTATCTAATTGAGGATTTAAATTTTGAACTGACAGAACAAAAAATATATAATAATTGTTATCAAATAATTTCAATTATCCCCTTCCATTTAAATTCACCGAAAGAGTTGATTGGATTGAGAACTTTGCCCAAAGAATCCACCCTGATTTTGACGGCTGAGAGTTCGTGATGGGGCAAACCCAAGCATTTTTTGTAAATTTTGGCGTAAAGTCATTGTACACAAAATATAGAGAAAAATAAAGCTACAATCGGTGTAATCCTCACCTTTAAAGTTAAAAAAAGATTTAATTATAAAATTAAAAATGAATGGAAAGCTGTTTCTTAAGAGATGACGCTTTCTTTAAATTTTATACTCTAGATTACAAAACTCTTATCGGGGAAATATGGAAATCTGAAAATTCCTCGGAAACAATACTTCAATTTTTAATATTACAAAGAAACTTACCAACAAGATTTCGATGACTTAAACCCTGGACCCAGGAAATAGGCTCAAATGGAAGTTTGGCAACAACACGTCCTTCAAAAATACTAGAAAATGTGCTCAATAAAGTTGTAAAAACAAAACCAATCGCCATCCTTAAAAATAAATGTTAAAAATCTTTAAGTTTTTTGACGATAAGGCAGAGAGAGATGTTCGCAGGAAAAATAAAAATTTTAAATAATTTTGATGTAAGGAGCAAGATAAATAAACTAAAGGCCAGAGCGGGCATGAACTAGGGTCAGATTTCAGGGCTAAGCCCCACCCGTCCCCTACTTATTCTACTTATAGCATAAGATGTGCTTTAAGTCCCGTTGGGTAAGTGAAGCTGTTTTCCCTAAGATTTTCAGGGAACGGTTTCGCGTACACCTGGGACTCTGAGCCCATCTTTTGAATTGTTATTGAACAGGTTGTGGGTTTATGTTATAAGAGATTTAATTTTAACATCTTCAGATAGCCTAAATACTTACATAGACTTCATTCGAAACATTGAAAGATCTCTATTCGTAGACTTTAAACGTTCCTCTTCCCTTTCAATTTTCCTTTTTGTTGTTTTGCTAGCACTATTTGCAGTCCCAACCCCCTGATCCACAGCCCCAATTGTTTCCTTTTTCTTTTCTAATTTTTTTGTTTTTCTTTCCATTGAATATTTTAAACGTTTGTACTCCTCTGATCTTTAAAATTATTAAATTATTAAAAATATTTAAAATTAAAAAACCTATAAACAAGCAACCAAGTAAGTCCTTCTCCCAACAAAGCGGTAAACAACGCAATAAAAATAATTAAAAAAGCATCGCTATACATTTTAATAAAGAAAATTTCTTTAAAAATTATCAGGTTTAAAGGAAAAAATTAAAAAATATTTATAATAAATGAAAATATATTAATTTTAAAAAGTTAAAATTTTATTGAGAATTTTTAAGAAGGAAAACAATATAACAAAACAAAACCTTACAGAGATGAGGGAATGGTCAAAGGATGAGAATTTTTATTTTACTTGCTATCATAAAATACACATAATTTACTCATCTCTGTATAAAAAGCAAAGCTCAAACATTTGAAAAATTAACTTAAATCCCCTCCAATTAAAACAAATAATTTAAAATAATTTGTGAAGAAACAACAATTTTTTAAATATAATTTAAAGAAATTCTTCAATATTAATTTCCACTGCAGAACAAGGGTTGACTAAAGAAAAAGAATTAATAACCTCAGGGTGAAGAACTCCAAAAGTGCCAATTGAATGATTTTTATAAATAATTTCAGCACATCTTCCATCAAAAAAAGTTGGATCTAAAAAAGTAAATTTTAATCAAATTAATATGTAAAAAAAGTAAACTGAGAAAAATTCTAACAACTCTAGCCGCTGGATGGGTGTCTATTCTGACTTTCCTTTCTTTGCCAAAAATTCCCTCGTAACCCCCCACTTAAAATCAATTCTAAAAAACACAAACCATCTTTTTGTTGTATTTTATATCCTTTAATTTCTCCATTAAAATCTTTAGTATTCTCAATATAATTAACATTTAACATTTGCATTATTCTATCCAAAAGTCCGTGGATTATTTCGAAAGCCCCATTCTTGCTATAAAAAACAGCTGCCAAATGCCTCTCATTCCGACATTTTGTATCTTCAAAAAATATTTATGTAAAATTTATTTTTTTAACAAAAAACCTTTATTATTATCAATAAAAACAACATCTTGAACTTCAAAAAGTTTTAAAGGAAGAGGCATATCTTTGTTATTTGAAATTGTTTTTAAAATGCCGGGAAGTAAAGAATTTCGAACAACCTGTAAGAAAAAATATCGTCTAAATGAAAAAAGAAATATTCGGATTGCATGTTTTCCTAAACTTTTAAGTTGCGGACTTTAAAAATAAAATCCCCAATGTTGAAGTCTATACGAAGAAATTTGATTTGATAAAAACCTGGAATTCCAAAGTTTTTGGATTTGCAATTTTAACAACACTTTTCAATTCAAAATCAGGTCTTCTCAATTTATTTCCAACATCTTCTGTAGAACATAAAGCAAAATTCATTATTTCAGTCCAACCAGACATTGCCATTTGTAAACGCAATTGATCAGAAAGTTTATTTAAATTAAAAGGTTCGGCAACTGTATTTGATTGGGGCAATAATGGAGGAATATTATTATAACCAAAAGCTAAGGCTAAATCTTCAATTAAATCACATTCATGAAGAATATCGTGTCTTGTTGGAGGTGCTTTAACCTTTAAAAAGATTTATTTTGCTTTTTCTTCTAAATGTGCCAGAAAAATCCTTTTCCCATAATTTTTGAACAAAGAGAATATTAGAAAATAAACCTCAATTTGTGTTTCATTCTTTTCAACATTCGAACAGGTCAAAGACATTTTAGCCAAAAAATTCATTGCTTTGTCAACGTTAATCGGAGCAATTCCAATTTTTCTTGACATATTTTTAACATCCACTTTCCCCTTCCAGGCTTTAAATTTCTACAAAAAAATTAAATAATTAAAAATAATTAATATTATACCGGATATACACAAGAGCCCTTTCCATCAACAATTTCAACAGGCTCGACCCTGAAAAATTAACTCCAATTCCACTAATGTCAGATTCTTAATAAAAACTTACAAAAAGGGTTCCTTGCAATATTGACTAAAAATAGTAACAACAGTATCCAAAACAATTTCCAATTTTTTCAAATCAGTTCCAGTAGCCTCGATAAAAATATTTTTTGTGTTTAAAGTAATTTTTGAATGATCACTATTAATTATTGGAGGTAAAGAACAAACAATTCCTTGTGAATCATAAATTACTGGATAAAGAGGTTTGTCTCTAATAATTGGTAAATATTCTCTTAGATGACTTTCTTTCTAAAAAATATAAAAATATAAAGTCAAACCACACTAATAAAAACCTCAGATTAAGGCCAAAAAATAATACTTCTTATAATGAGGTGTCAAAAAGAGTAACTTTTAGGGAGCCTACTCACCCAGTGGTCAACCAAATTTTCAAAAAACGCATTTTAAATTTAGGTGATCTACTATAATATATGACAAATCTTAAGGTGAAGTTAGACAGTAAAATTAAATTAATTTAAAATATACATAAAATTCCATTAATTCCAATCCATTAAACTCTTTATTTTGATTTAAAGGTTTAAAAATAATTTCTTCAGGCTTTCGAGCACAATATTTAAAAGGCCCTAAAAAGAAAAAAATATATATAAAAATTTAAGAAATTAAAAAAACCTTTAATCGTATCCAAATCATGAGTCCCAATAGACGCTAGCGTCCTTTTCCTGCCAATATTTTGGTGTAATTTGTCTTGCAAATCAATAAAAGAGGAATAAATGTCAGCATCTAATTTAATATCTCTTAAAACTGCACCAACAACAAATTTTCGTACGTTGGCGGTCTTTAAAGAAAAAAATTTTTGGGACTAGTCTCAAGAATATTTGTGCCTCTCAAAACTACATACATATATTGAATTTTTTGGTTCAAAATTGGGTTCCTTAATATAGTAAATGTTTCGGATAGCTCAAAGTTGGGCATAGATTTAGAACACAAAAAACATATTAACACAACCCCAATCTTAAAACTAAAGACAACCCAACTGGGCGTGAACCAAAAACCTTCACTAAAATATTTAAAAAACCTCTTTTTCAACAATAATAGTCAAAGGCTTAACGTCTGACAATTTATACGATGGAATTTTTATTCTAAAAATAAAAAAAGAATATTTTAAAAAATAAATATAAACAACTTATTTTGAAATATAAGTAAAGCTCTAGTCAATCCTTCAACACAAAGCAAGTCATAACGATTGGCAGGAATTTCAATTTTATAAATTTCTTCATCAACCCCTGTGGCTTCGTTTTTTTCAGTTAACTTAAAAAATTTTCAAAATTTTTTAAAATTATTTTTTAGGTTTTATTAAAATTGATAAAATTGTAATTGAAGATCCAAAATCAAAATTTTAGCATTTTCTGCCCAAATTGAAAATCAAAAAACTTTCAGAAAACCTTCAAAATTTAAAAACTAACCACATCATCTAATTCAAGTCCATATTGAAAACAAAGTTCATCCACTTCCTCTTGTGTCAGACAAGTGCCTAAATGTTTATCTAAAAGTCGTTTCTTAACAGCAATTGTCGGCATAACTTTCAAAAATAATTAAATTTATTTAGAAATACATATTAAAAATAATTTAATTGAAAATTTACAAAATTAAAAAACACTAGAGTCCCAAACGAGAGCTTCAACAAAAAGCTCAGTTATTGAGATTCTCGACAATCATTAAAACTTGGTCTTTAATATAAACATTTATTTAAATAAATTACATTTATGGCAATAAATGAAAAAATTAAAAAGAAAATAATTTAAAATTGGCCCTCATTATAAAATAAAGAAAATATCTCAAAGAGGGAGAGGATGTCACCCAGGTACTCACCTCCAGCGTCTTACCAAATTTTATAAGTTGGTGAGTATTTTAGAGGTATTTTATAATGAGGCCTGACAGAACCGGTTTAATAATTTTTAAAAAATAAATTATAAAATAAATAATCTTTTTCAAATTATAAATAATATCAAAATTAAATAAAATGTTTTTTACTTCCATACAATTTATTATCTGGACCAACTTGGATTGATCCCTTCTCTCTACGTAGATAAGGCATGACGCCTCTATAAAGTTCACAATTTTGTGCCAAATAATTGTAAGTATCAAACCAATTATTGAAAGTTGGTGAATAAGGCAAAAGAGAGGCTAGTAAACTTTTAAAAAGAAAGAAATTATATGATTTTATTTAGAGGATACTTTGTGGGCATGAGGAGGTAAAACTAGGGATCATACCGAGATGATATCTCTATCAAAAATTTTGCTTAAATTAATCCCCTATAAATATAAAAAAGCTTAAAAATTAATTTTCATACCCAGAACCAGCAGCAGCCATCAAATTAGAACATAATTTAAAAGGATATTGCACAAAACCAACCAGAGAAGGGACAATTAAATTACACACGTTATAGCGTAAAAGTACTAAAAAATATTAATTTTTATCATTTTCGGGTTTTTGTAGCTTTCAAATTTCTTACCACAAAGCTGTAAGTGTTCAGCTAACTGTTGTTTCTCATATGGATGAAGATTTTCCCAATCTTCTTCTACCTTCATATTTAATTTTATTACCATTTTATTGTATACAATGTCTACTAGATAAATACAAATAGTTGTTCCCCAAACAGAAATTAGTCCATTAACAATTAAAGGCATTAATCCAGAAAAAAGTCCAGGAGGGCCCTCTTCTGCACCAATAAGTAATAAAGGTTGGAAAGGATTTATAGGCAAATATTTTGTTTCGTTTCCAATAAGTTGAGCTATTTGACGAATTGCTACAACTAAAAATAGATTTTTTTAATTAAAAAAATAATTTAAAAATATGTACCAGTAAATGGACGAGAAATAACCGAACATAAAACTACTTGAATAGTTTCACGTATTCCTGTTCGTAATTTAATTAGAAAAAGTTGATAATTGTCCAAATTATTTAAATCTTTCAGATCATCAATATTTCCTCCAATTTCCTGGTAGTGACGATTCAAAACCTTTTTAAAAATTAGCGGTAATTTCGAAGTTCCCTAACAGTTTCCGAATAAGAAATCAAATATAGAATTGTGAAGAATATCACAACTCTTACAGTGTGTAACAAAACTATAAGCCACCTAAAAATTTTTAATTTCTTAAGGTTCTAATGAATGAAAATTTTTAAAATTTTTACCCAATATCGAAAATGCAATTTCAAGCAAAAATTAAAAAAATTTTGTGTTAAAATTTTTTCAAAAAATTTTTTTCGAACTTTTTATGAAATCTAGGTGTAACATAACTATAAGCCACCTTGGAAAAATTTTATTTTTCATATTAGCAATGCTCGAAAATTTTTTTAAAAATTTATGTGAACATTTCCGTTGATATTAAGTAGAAAAACAAGAAGAACGAAGTCTGCAAATACATTCTTCATTGAGATCTCAAAACCCCAAAATCAACGGGAAACAGGGGTACAGTACTTTAAAAAATATTTTAACCCCCTTGGAGCTTATATATAAATTTTCTTTTTAGCTCATCTGAAAGCCCACAAAATTTGCTACAAAATACACTTGGTCCTATCTTGCAGAAAATTTTTTACATTGAGCTAACATAGGTTAAATTTAGGAGATCGAAATAATGAAAAATTATGGGGTAATTTTAGTGAATTTATTTATCTGCCCTTTTAACCGATCAGCCCTCAATGGTAAAATTTTTCTCCAAGATAGGACCAAGTGTATTTTGTAGCAAATTTTGTGGGCTTTCAGATGAGCTAAAAAGAAAATTTATATATAAGCTCCAAGGGGGTTAAAATATTTTTTAAAGTACTGTACCCCTGTTTCCCGTTGATTTTGGGGTTTTGAGATCTCAATGAAGAATGTATTTGCAGACTTCGTTCTTCTTGTTTTTCTACTTAATATCAACGGAAATGTTCACATAAATTTTTAAAAAAATTTTCGAGCATTGCTAATATGAAAAATAAAATTTTTCCAAGGTGGCTTATAGTTATGTTACACCTAGATTTCATAAAAAGTTCGAAAAAAATTTTTTGAAAAAATGTTTAATAAAAAAAATTTTTAAATTTTTGCTTGAAATTGCATTTTCAATATCGGGTAAAAATTTTAAAAATTTTCATTCATTAGAACCTTAAGAAATTAAAAAATTTTGGGTGGCTTATAGTTTTGTTACACACTGTATTTTACTAAAACCAACTCTTCCATCTTTTCTATTATGGTATATGTATGTAAAAATGTAAAATAAATTTTTGTCATTTTTTGATTTAACTACTTTAGAGTAGAGTTCAGCGGTATCGGGATTTTGAGAAAAACCCGGGATCGGGATTTAGGAATGGTGATCCCGATCCCGACACGGGATCGGGATTGGTCGAAATCGGGATCGGGATTTGGACTGGAGATCCCGATCCAGAATCGGGACCGGGATTGAAAAATCGGGATCGGGATTTACTGAAAATTTTTTTTAATTTTTAAATTTGTATTTTCTTCTCAGTATAATTCTAAAATTGCCACTGCAGTGCTGAAATATTGAGGTTAAGTCTCATAGACGCATAATTTACTTTCCGGTTCAGGGGATTAAGGAGGGATAAGGTATGTAGGGGGGGGGGGATAAAAGGGACTAAACTTCTCCCATTTTAAGCGCCGCAGACAAAAATTTTGAAAAATTTGGAAGGCCTAGGTGCCAGATTTCCTCCCTTTTAAGCGCCGCAGGCAATATTTTTAATTTTGGAAGGCCAAGGGCATTCAAGTTAAACGTTCAAGTCTATACAATTAAGTGCGTTACGTTCAAATGTGGACGATTAAGAACTGAGATTGAGGGATTAAGTGATATATTCATGTAGTATCTCTTCAATCTATTTCTCATCAAATCTAACTTAATCCCTGTAAATCCACCGATATCCTTCTATATCCAAATCCACCGATACTCCCCTCAACCCCTCTTGATCCCTCGATATCACACCAAATCACTCAATATTCCATTAAAGTTGTAAAGACAGTTTTGTTTATTTTTGCGGCGCCGCAGGCGAAAATTTTGAGAATTTTGGATGTCAAGATGCCAAATTTCTTCCATTTTCTGCGCCGCAGGCAAAAATTTTTCTTACTTTCATGCCTCCCCTCTTCTGTTAACTTTATTTCGCAGACTTCTAGTCAATTTATAAAGTCGGGATTTTCATCGGGATCTGATGCACATCCCGATCCCGGCTCGGGATTGAGATTGGCCGGGATCGGGATATTTATTTCGGGACCGGGATCAGAAAAATCGGGATTCGAAAAACCCGGGATAATCCCGCCCGATCCCGACCGGGATCCCGATCCCGCTGAACTCTACTTTAGAGGGAAAAGTGGAAGAATTGATTAAAATTACCAAAATAATTTAAAAAACCTCAAAAATTACAAAACCACAAGACAATCTTAAAAATTTCTCCAAAATGCACCCACCAACACCTGTATAAATCGCCTTAAAGCCATGTAAAAGATACATGTTGTTAACTGAAATTAAGCATTAAAATGAGGAAAATCAAAATAATTTACGATATCGATAATAATTTGGCAGAAAAAAAGTATTTGATCCAAAAAATATGAAAGATTTTCCTTTTTCTAAAGGAAAAGGTTCATATCCAAGTTGTATCAAAGTTTGAGTAAAATAAGCTGGATGCAACAACAATGAAGATCTGAACACTTTAGAACAAATGTCCTTACAAATCAACAAAATCCGTCGCTTTAAATTAAATATTATTAGAAAAGTATCATGACCGAAAATTTTCCAAAACTTTACAGGGATCAAGACAATCTTTTATTACAAGAAAATCTAGACTTTGAATTTTGAAAAGGATTTCAACGAAATCCCGGAATTTCAACATAAAAAAGAAAAGATTCCCTCAGTAACAAAAGTCTGAGACGTCTCTATATTAATTACAAGTAAATATAATAAAAATTACCTCATTAATTTGGTTATTGTTTGGATTCAAATTTTCTACTTCAGCCATTTAACTAAAAATTTAAAGAATTTTAAAAGGGAAAATTCTTTGTTCGTTTTAAATAAAGTCAGTTACAAAATTATAAAAGCAAGCATTTTTTGGTATTACTCATATTTGCAAAGGGATCTTTTTCTAATTTAATCAAAAACTTTTCCTTAAAACATTCGCAATCCTAATATTTATAAACACTTATACATAAATGAAAAATTTTTTTGATCCTTGGACAGGAATGGGAAACACTAAAAATTGTTTATTTTTGCAACAGACTTTATAATTAATATATAGCAAGTGACTAAATAATCATTAACAATATAGTAATTTATTAGTTGATATAATATGAAAGTCAACTAACAATAATTAAATTCTTTAACCGAATTTATTTAGTAATTAAAATTTAATAAACTATTTAAATATTTTAAAGCTTTGATATAAAATAATTATAATAAATTAATTTTTAAACTCTTTAGTCCGTTTTATTGTCTTCTTTAGTTGAATTCTTTTTCGAAACAAGAAGACAAACAATTTGCTCAAGTTTATCAGAAAATGAGTCAAAAGAAAAATTCTTTTCGACATTTTGACGGCCTAAAATTTTTTTCAAAAAATTTCAAAATTTTTACTTACCCAAAATTCCCATTTCTTTAATAATTTCAGAATTGTTTATTGCAAATTCCATCGATTCAGAAAATATTTCCTTTTCTGGAGGGCAAAGAAATCCCGTCTTTTTGTCAATAATTGTTTCAGTAGGTCCACCATTATTTACTGCCAATACAGGAGTAGATAAAAACATTGCCTCAACTGGAACAATACCAAAATGTTCTCCTGTCGGAGTATATATTATTAATCGGGCAATAGACATTAACCAAATTTTTGAATAATCATCTGGAAATTTTTTTTAAATTATTGCGAGGATAGAAAATATATAAATTTAATGAATTAATAAAGAAAGGAAGATTGAAAACATTGACTTTAACCCAAACATATGACCATAACATCTTAATCAGATTCTTAATTTTGACTTTGGATTCAAGAAAATAACAAAGTTTCGAGATCAGCGTTTTCCCTCACAAGGAAACCCCCACAAGGAAACCTTACAATTACAAAACATCTTAAAGACTATAGAGTCGTATAAAATAACCTTTTGCGCTAAAAACCCCTATACCAGCCGATCAAATTGTTTTTTTTGTATTCATTTATGAAATCTATCAAACGGTTATTAAAATATTAATCTGCACTACATATAAACACAGAACTTACTTGGACTTCTGATGAATTTAACTTGCTCTGCAATGCCTAATTGTTCTGACAATCTAACCAATTCATCAAAATGTTCAATATTTTCTAAATTTAAAGGATCATAACCACCAGCAATCACCAAAATACATTTTTTTGAATTTTCTGACAAAATTTTAGAAAGTAAGAAGGCTTAAAAAAAAATTAAAAAATTTAATTTATTAAAATAACCAAAAGACTGAATTGCCAATTCCATATTTTTCTTTCGTTCAAATCGATTAACAGAAAGAAAACTGATTGTCTCTTTTTGCTTTAATAAATTAACCAAATCCGCAGACAAGGTCTTCTCAATTTCATCAATTCCGTCTTCTTTAAATTTTTTCAAAGCGTTGTCAAAAAATTCACAGTTGATTGAGGGATATAAAACAGTCAGTGGACGATTGGTTAAAGCTGGAAATGTCTCTTGAACAACTCCATTAGTAAAATTACTAGAAAATAATTGATTAATGTTTTCAATAAAATTACTGATGTTGGACTAAATCAACTGACAATGAACAAATTTTTATTATAACACCCCTCTCAAAATTTGAGTATGAAAATTTTCTTTGTTAAGGGTTATGTAAGCTATTAACAAGGGTTAACGGAAACAAATTAAGTTGTGATATAAATTAATTTTTAAACTCAAATGAGTGGATGTGTTATAACATATTATTATCATTAAAATAAAACCTATTAACGAGTATTTGATCAGCCCAACCCATTGTCCAAGTCTCAATATTATCGATAAAAAGTCGGTAAAGTCGTTTTAAGAAAGTGTCACGTTTAATAGCCAATAATTTGTCCGGGTAATGGCAATAGAAAAGTATAGAACATCCACACAATAGCCGCAAAATAGGCAATGGAGCAGAAATCTAGAGCGGAAAACAACTAATAATTAAGAAACGAAAAATATCTGAATGAACCTGATCACAAAAAACAAGGTCAGCATCACGATGGTAAAGGCAAACATAAAATGCAGCAATACAAAATCTAATATAAGCACACAACGCAGAAAACTTTCCAAAAATTGAACGAGGCAATTTCTGTGCGACAACCTCCAAATCTTTAAAAAATCGAAAAAAGATCAAAAAATTTCTCAAAACCTTCTCTAAAGTCCTTCAATTCCTCAAAACAATGGTCAGAAGAAAATTGATTAGTTACAACACAAACTTTATGCCCCTTCTTTTTCAACGCTAACACAGAATCTAAAACAAGTCTTTCTGCTCCGCCAATGCCAAAATCGGGGTGTAAAAAGACAACTTTCATTTTCTGATTTTAAAAATTCTCTAAAAAATTTTAAAAATTAAAACGAATCAAAATAAAAATGTTAAAAACAATTTCGAAAATAAAATAAAAATTTTACTCATTTACCGATAAAAAAGTAGAAAAATTAAATCTATAATCAAATTAAATTTTTTGTCTTAAATAAAATGTTGTTTGCTTGCATACAATCTATTATCTATTCCAACACGAATTGAACCAGTCTCCTCTCGTAAGAAAAATTTTGCTCCTCTACGAAGTTCATGCGGCGCCAAATAATCATAAGCATCAGACCAATGTTTGAAGGATGGTGAATAGGGAAGAAGGGAGGCTAATAACCTAGAAAAGATGGTAATTATTTTAATTGACATTCAAATGTAATTAAAAAATAGAATATCTAATCAGAAGAGAACATCGGCTACCGTGTACAAAAATTTGGTAATTTTTTTGGTAACAACCGATAGAGAACCAAAGATGTCCTATTGCGAAGTGATAGGACTAATTTTAAAAGGAACGGCGACCGACCCGGCTCTAGTGCATTATGAATTCGCAGAAATTGAATGTCGAGAACAAATACAATTAAAAATCCAAAAAAATTTCATACCCAGAACCAGCGACAGCCATTACAGTCGAGCATACTTCGAAAGGATAACGCAAAGTATTAACCAAATAAGGAACAAGATAATCAAATGATTTGCGTGAATGAGCCATTACTTCTCTTTCCTGTTGCTCTAAATCTTGGAATTCTCTTTCCTATTAAATTTAAAGTATAAAAATTTAAAAATAAATCATTTACAAATTTTTTGAACGCCAAATCAACACCATAAATACAAATAGTCGTTCCCCAAACAGAAATTAGTCCATTAACAATTACAGGCATTAAACCAGAAAAAAGTCCAGAAGGGCCCTCTTCTGCACCAATAAGTAATAAAGGTTGGAAAGGATTTATAGGCAAATATTTTGTTTCGTTTCCAATAAGTTGAGCTATTTGACGAATTGCTACAACTAAAAATAATTCTTTTTTAATTTAGAAAAAAATTTTAAAAATACCAGTAAATGGACGAGAAATAACCGAACATAAAACTACTTGAATAGTTTTACGTATTCCATCACGTAAACGTAATCGAAATTGTTGATAATTGTCCAAATTATTTAAATTTTTTAGATCATCAATATTTCCTCCAACTTCCGGATAGTAACGATTCAAAATCTTTTTAGAAATTATCAAAAAATATTTTTTGTATTAAAAACCTCAGTAATAACAAAACCCCCAGACAAATGTAAAAACGTTTGCAAAGCATGTCCACCAACGCCTGTGTAAATTGTTGCAAACCCATGTGAAAGATAGAAGTTATTAACTGAAATTAAGGTTTAAATAAAAGAAAATAAAGAAAGCTATTTGTCAAATATCAATCCGACATCAATGGAAATATGTATATGTTGAGCGAAAAATTGAAAAAGACTATCCAAAAAGGTGCTTCCGGCGACTCACACCATCCTCCGGAAATGCAATTTAAAGCTGATAACAATATAAAAGGATATCTTGGATTCATAGGAATAACTTATGGTTATTCGTATGAATTACTCATAGAAATAACCATATTATTCTTCCTAGCGGTTTCCAGGAAAGCTATTATTAACGCTATTATTCCTAGCGATTCTCAAATATAAAATAACAAAAAATTTACGATAGTGATAGAAGTTTGGCAAAAAATAAGCTTGTCGTCCAAAAAATACGTAAACTTTTCCTTTCTCCAGAGGAAAAGGTTCATGTCCAAGTTGCATCAATGTACGGGTAAAAGATACTGGATGAAAAAAAGAAGTCGCCACCACACTAGAGCCAATACTTTCAATCTGCTTTTTAATCTTTTGCTATAAATTCAAAAATAATAATTAGATAATTCGAAAATAACCTCATTAAGTTCATTAATGTTACGATTTAAATCCTGTTCAGCCATTTAATATTTTAAGAATTAAATCCAACTTTATAATTTTTAAATTATCTAGAAAAAATTAAAAAGAATAAAAATTAAAATAAAATTTAAACAAAATCATAACTACTATTTATTTGTGGATGAATTACACTAAAATCTGAAAAATAGGCGGATTGAGTTGGAAATCCTTCCACAGGGTACAGCACAAATAGGCGCGCGGCCATAACGGCGCAAAGCCATAACTTGCTTCAAGATTTCCGAATCTTACCAAATTTAGTATTAAACGATTCCTCTCATCGAGCTAAAGAGATTGGTATCAAAGTAGAGATTGGCCTACTTGGGTGTCCACCTTCCATAGGCCAAAACGTCTTTTATCCGCTAATTGACGAAATAGTACCTTATTAAATATCACAAACTCTAATACAAAAGAACATGAAAAATATACAACACCGAAAGCAAGAGCGTAAAAATGAATTGAAAATGACTAGAAAAATATTTATCTACACAAAATATAACAATATAAGAATTAATAAAAAAGTATTGCTAAAAGAGAAATACCCGTAAAAATAACCCTAAAAATGATTAAATCTTCTCATCGCCTTTTTGAGCAAACAATTAGGTTTTAAACAATTGAATCATTAGTTGCAGCACTTTCTCTTCTCCTGGCTATAGGATTCGTTGCTCCACCTGACAATGCTTGCATTGAATCAGCCCTTCTCACTTGTTGTTCATCAAATCCTTCTGATTGAACAACAGAAGTTGATCTAGCAGAGAATGGCGTTTCTTGTTGTTCTCTTTGTTGAAATCTTCTTGGTTGTTGTATATTTGGATGTTCTTGTAAAGCTATATCTTCGTTTCCAGGAGCTACTCTTCTAAAAAGAGAAAATTTAATAAAAAGAGGAAAAAGCGATCGGACCTTACTAAATATAAAACATACCCCCCAATTTAAAATACTTTTAAATCCGGTTGGCTATTGGGTGGGGGAGCCTCCTAAGCGATACTCATGTAAGGAATAAGAAACTAATTGTAAGTATTTCAGAGTACATTCAAAATAATAAAGCAAAAAAAAGAAACTTACGCTCCTCGTCGAAATCTTCCAATTAAACTTCTACTTCCTCCACCTCTAATATTTACTTCTGAATTATTTTCACTATTTCTTCTTAATGCTTGTCTATTATTACTTCCTCCAATATCTCCGTCATTATTATTATTTTCTATTCCTTCTTCCTCAACATCAGGCATTCTTAAAGGAGGAAGAATTCGATGCTGCTGCAGAATGGAGGGTGTTGGTGAACTTGGTGTGATTACAATAGTAGATTTTGGTTTTCCTAAAGGTATTGAACCATTTCCAGGAATTCCTTTAAAAATGAAATTCTTTATAGAAACTACATTAGTCAGACCTCACTTATAAATACTCACTTAAAGGAACAGAAAGAATTGTATCTTATAATTAGGGATGGGATTTATATGGATTTCCATATTTTTTTCCTGGTCTAGTTTGGTCGTGAAACGCACGAAAAACGTTGTTTTAGCATATGTTGATAAGACAGATAATGAGTTATCAATCCATATTTTCCATATTTTTCCATATTTTGGCGTTCCGTCCATATTTCCATATCTTATCCATATTTCGGCATTTTTTGTAAAATTTTGCCAAAAATTGGTCAAAATTTTGAAAATTTTGCCAAAAATTCGTCAAAATTTTCAAAATTTTGGAATTTTTTTGTCAAAAATTTAAAAAAATTTTTGAAAAAATTAAAAAAAAATTTTTTGGTAAAAATTTTTCGAAAAAATTTTCTGAACAACTATTATTAAAATTATTTCCCCGGGAAACACTTTAAATATACCTTTAATTGACAAAAAGCCTTTAGAAAACACTTTAAATTAACAAAATCAAATTATTTATTTGTGAAAATTTATTTTTCCGTTAAAAATTTTCATTTTTCGGTCCATATTTGATCCATATTTTGGATTTTAGTCCATATTTCAGTCCATATTTTGAGATTTTTAGTCCATATTATATGTCCATATTTTTCGATTGATAGTCCATATAAATCCCATCCCTACTTATAATGAAGTGATATTAAAGTAAATAGGAGGTGCCAAACAAGTTCAAAATGAGGTAATCTAATATTTGGGGTGTAAGCTAAAGTGAGGTCCAACTGTATATTAAAAATTTATTAAATAACCATTAGGTAATCTTTCATCAAGGGAAGTTTTGTCAATATCAGAAGCAGATTCTTGTTGTTGTGGATCCCTTGGAGTACGCATTGGAGGTAATGAATTCTTTTCTCTTTCAATTTGTCTCCTTCCAAGGGCCGATTTTGGACGGGCACTTAAACTGCTTGAACCACCAAATATATCTTCAAAAAAACAAAAATAGTAGTATCAAAATATAAATTCATTGAAAGACAATTCGCTAAAAAAATCCCGAAATCGGCGAATTGTCATTTTAGTGAATTTCTTTTAGTCAAAATTATTTTAAAAAATTACTTGTTGAAGGCCTTCTTAGACCACCTAATTTTAAAGGTCCAAGCCTAATTCTAGAAGTACCAGCATTGTCAGAATTATTCGGAATTTGTGAAGAAAGTTCTCCTCCAATAGATAAACGATTATTTCCTTGTGTTTCAGCAGCTAAAGCTGCCGCCTCAGCTGCTCTTCTTTCTCTTGCAAGTCTTGCTTTTCGTTTCCATTTTGCCACATATTTGATTATACTATAGGCATTCCTTAATGCCTCGACCTCATTCTCAACTCCTTGACCAAATTTCTTTTTTCTCATTTTTTCCCATTTTTACAACTTTAAATTTTTGGTCAAGGACCAGAGAAGTTAAGGGAAGGATTCAGATGGATAGCATTAAAAACTCTTAAACGACGGGTTAATTATAAAAGAGAGAAAGTCATCGTCACTGTAACGTTTAGTTAGCGAAGCTTCTATAATTTAAACACTTTCCTCGGGGTTACAAGCTCGATTCCCACTTGGTGACCATTAAAATTTTGCCCAATACTTTTTTACTTTTAGAATAATAATTATTAACTATTCGAGGTCGAGGCAAAAAAATTTTTTTTAATTAATTTTAATTTTTAAACAAAACTCACTTGACATTTAATTTCTTTTCAATAGAATAATTAGCAATATTATGTCCAGCTAATCCATGTTCTATTAAATCAGCACCTAATTGTTCTTCATATTTTGTCATTCTTAAACCCCAAGGGAATTGATTCATAATCTTTTTTAAAAATTTAATTTATTTTTGTTTAAAAGTTAATATTTTTACAATAAGTGAAAGAAATGTAACAATAAGTGAGAATGCCGATACACAAACAACACATAGAGCTTGGACCTTTAAAAATAAAAAAGAGTCCCCTTATAACAATTTTGGATTCTGTAACATTTTTTGAGATATAGGGAACTATGTCTAATTTTAAGACAATCCCCTTAAACTCAAACATTGTTATAAAATCCAAAAGTAACCACTTTTAGAAACAAATCCAAAAGTACCTTTATTAACTCAAAATCACCACCATGAAAAAGTCCATATCTATTTCCTGTTACACCTTTCTACAAAAAATAATTGGTTAAAGATATCTTCTAACAAAATAAAGGCAAACATTTCTGGGATCTTCTATAGCAGTTTCACGATCTTCATAAGAAAATATACCAACACAAATCATCCCTAAAATTTTTTTCAGCTTAAATTTAACAGAAAAAAACCCCAAGCAGAGCCAATAACATGTACAGGTATAACACCAACAGGGTCATCAATTTCTAATCGTTCAACTAAAGGATATACAGAAAGGGCTAATGCTGCCCCAATTGCTCCAACTGCAATGCTGTCGATTGGCCGCAAACTGTGGCAACCTTTTTTAAATTAAAAAGTATTTTTAAATTTTATATAAATTGTGGTAAGAAATACGAGAGAAATAAAGGAAAAAATAAAGCGGAGGTAGTGGATTACTTTTTGCTCTAAAAAATTTTGGCCAAAAATTAGGGGTATTTTTGACGTTTTTAAAAAATTTTTTAAAAATTTACCAGCAGTTGTAGAAACTAAAGAAGCAAGTAATCCATCAATTAATAAATCAATTTGACATTTTCTTGTTGAAACTAATGAAATAATAATCGAAGTACACCCACCACCTATTGAACTTAATAATGTAACCATTGCTGATCTAAACCAAAAAAAATTTATTTTAAATAAATAAATAGAGCAACCTAGAAGCAAGTCTCCATCTATTATAAGCAACTCCCAATGTTGACCCAGTATTGAATGCTAACCATCCCCACCATAACATAAAAGTTCCAAGAAGAGCATTTGTTGGACTGTTTTTAAAAATTTAGAGAACTTTTTTATTTTTCTCTCACTTTGACATATGTGCACTTCCCCTTTCTCCAAATCTAGCTTGCCTAGGCTTTAAATAAAGCGTTGCAGCTAAACCAGAAACTCCGCCGACTAGGTGAACAACTTAAAGAAAATTTTTTGTATCAAAAAAAGGGCAAAAAATGAGTACCTGAACATCCAGCAGCGTCAACAACTTCTAATTGGTGAAGAAATCCATCTTCAGACCAGACCCCTAAAAATAAAAATAAATCTTGTTTAACAATTTTTAAATTTACTTACAATGTGCAGTTATTGAATGGACAAGAGTCATCTTTATATTTGAAAAAAATTAATTTAAAAAAATCTTTCAAAGATTATTTACCAAATAAGTAATAACAATATAAGGCTTTAAACGTATTCTTTCTGCCATAGCAGCTAAAATTAAATTTAATCTAAATATTTTTTCTTTATTTTTACTACCAGAAACGATAGTTGATGTAGTTGTAGCAAAAGACATTTGAAAGAAAAAACGTGCATAGTGCCAAGCCTGATCAGAAGCTTGGCCTGCTTCGTCTGGATTATAGAAGAAGTAGCCAATACCTTTAATATACATATTATGTATTTGCCTATATTGAGGAATTTTAGAAAATATAATCAACTAAATTTAGAAAATTAAGAAAGTTGATATGCTAGTTATTTCTTTTTTAAAGCGACACCCTGCCCTTAAGTTCGTTAACATATCCATTCATTTGCATATCCTTACGTCCTGGGAATAAATTGGATGAAACGGTGAGGATAACGACGAGAACAAGTAGTAACAACAATGATAAATAGATAAGACAGAATAAAATCAGGATGAAACTGACAAAGAGAAATGGCACCTACATATATTACCACTCACAACGTCAAAAACTAAACAATTATAGTATAAAAGCCCAACATAAAACTCAACTTCATTCAACCAAACTCACAATCTCAACTTATTCCGACTACATTCCTGCTACTTCTTCCATTATTGTCGCTGCTACTACACGGTCAGGATGTCGTGCGCTCCAGGCAAAAAGCGGGGACTTGAAAGCGGCAGCAAATTTCTCAACTGGGTCGTCATGGACAGAGTCGGCGCCGGGGCGTTTGGAGAAGTCTATCGTGTTCGAGGAAGTGCCAACCAAGTGTACGCGCTGAAGACGGAGCACTGTGATGCTGAGCATAATGTGCTGATGATGGACGTCACGGTTCTTCAGGACGCTGGTCGACAACAATTCAAGCACTTTGCAAGGATAATCGAAAGCGGACGCTATGTGAGTTTTGGCTAGTTAATATAGGAATAAATTTCCAGCTAACAGTAATTTTTGTATTTTTATTTAGCGCAACGACTTCTTCTATCTGGTTATGACGCTTCTTGGAAAGTCCCTGCACGATCTGCGGAAGGCGCGCAAGTCTGAATGCTTCACAAAGGGCACTGCTATTTCAGCGGCAATACAGACCTTGGAGGCAATCGAGGAGCTCCACAAGATAGGCTATCTGCATCGGGACATAAAGCCTGGCAACTACTCTATCGGCCTTCCGGACCGCAAAGGAGATGTTCGCAACATCTACATTCTGGATTTTGGCATGTGCCGTCGCTACGTCCGAGATGACAACACCCTTCGTCGACCACGTTCCGCGGCGGGCTTTCGAGGAACACCAAGATATGCAGCACTTCGCTGTCATATGGTGAGGGAAAATTTGCATTTTGTTTTTCAGTTAACTTTTTCTTTTCTTTTACAGAACATGGAATACTGCCGAGCCGACGACGTCGAATCATGGGTTCGCTGATTTGCCTTTTAGGGTTAAAAAACTTTCTTTTTTTTTGACAGATCTACATGATTGTAGAGATGACGACCGCAGGAATCCCATGGCGCCGGATCCAGAACATGAGTGAGCTTGGTGAACAGAAGCGCCGCGTCCACGCCCTGGAACCGGGAATGGTGAGAGATCTCTTCAATGGATGCCCGCCGGAATATGGAGGTAAATTACTGCCTTAATAAAAGTTTTGAACAAAAAACATTTGTATTTTTTTCAGCCATTCTGCAGAATGTGATCCAGCTTGGCTACTACGACGTCCCGCACTATCAAGACGTGAGTTTCTGAGCGATCCTTATATAACAACAAACAAAATTTTTTCCCCATTTTCAGTATTACGATCAGCTGAAACAAGCATTGGCGGCACCGGGGGTAAAAGAATTCCCCTATGATTGGGAGGACAAGAGGAAGGGTAGCAGCAGGAAGACCAAGTGATGAGAGGAAAGATGTCTCTGAGAAAGCACAAGAAGAATCAGACAAAATTCATTCGCTGATGTATAAAATATATATAAATAACATTATCTCATTTTGTATTGTTGCTAATTCAAATATTTTTGTATTGTTTCATATATTCTAGAATAAATTGTTGATAAGGGACTTGAGTTTTGTTATTAATTTAGTTACTTGTCTAAACTTGTATCTAATAATTGTTCCATCCCTAATAAAGTCCTCGAATCGACAGCAAACTTGCCCCCTTTGACAGAAACATTTTAAACATCGAAAACTACCCTCTCACCCACCATTTTCCAGAAAAATTATTTTCTAAAATTCCCCAAAAATTAATTTACCAATATAAGGGTTTGGGAAGTCTTTTCCATAAGTAAAACCTGAAAATTAAAAAAACAATTTTTATTTTCAACATTTTCTCTTACCAAAACCAAACATCCAATAAGAAAGACCACCAAAAACAACATCAACAATATTTTTAACCATTATATTTACTTCATCTTTAGAAGAAACACGTCCACTTTCCAATAATCCAAAACCTTTAATTTATTTTTCTAAATCTCAAAAAAAAAATTTCTCTTTTCTACCCGAAACCATTGTCCAAATAGAAAAACTACAAGAAATAAGCCAAATTCCATCATCTTGAAATGCTGTCAAATTTGCCTCATTATAGGGAATATTGTAAGGGTTATGACCGAAAGACGAATAACTTTTGTAAATTTTTAATTGTATAAATTTCTTTTTTTCCTTCAAAATTTACCTTGGTTCCATTACTTTTTTCGTTCTTTTATTTTAATACTATTTGAAGACTAAATATTCCATAAATAAATTATTTATTTAAATATACTTGAAAAGAAAATTTAAAAAAAACAAAATTTATTTCTTAATTTTTTTGAAAATTAACGTAAATGTGTCAGTTAATTAGTGTAAATATGTAGAGTAAATATTTGTTTGTTTTTATTAAAAGGGAAAAAATAAATATTTTTTAAAATTAAAAAATATCTATACATAAATCAGAAACTGACACAACAAAAATTTGTTTAAATCTCTCTTCCTTTTTCAAAATTAATTTAAAAAATGTCGAGGAAATGTACTAAGTATTCTTTAAATAAATTAAATAAAAATTTAAATCAATCTCCTTTAAAATTCGTTCCAACAGATTTTTGATTTAAAAGATTATTGAACAAATAATCAGAAAAATTAATTTACTACTAAATTTTTAAATGTGTTTTGTAAGAAGGAAAAAAAAGAAAAAGCAAAAATTGGATTAAAATTTTTGTTTTCTTTTTTTTCTTTTTAAATTAAAATGTTGCTAATCCCCTTTTTACTTTAAAACTTTTTTTGATCATTTCAATGTTTGTCAACAGATTTTTTAAAAACATCTAAAACAAATATATAAATAGATTGTTGTAATGGAAAAATAAATTTAAAAAAATTTTTAGTTTACGCTTGGAATTAAAAAAAAATATTTTGAAATCAATTCCTCATTAAAAACAGAAAATGTTTAAAAATAATTAATTAATTATATTAACCGTAAAACTTGTATTAATTGCCCTCCCTCAAATAATTATACCACTTCTATTAATTACCCCATCCAGCGATAGATTGAAATAATAATTACGTCCCCATCAAATGCCATAAAACTCGTTCAAATTTCAAACCTCGTATAAAAATCTCCCTCGATTAATTACTCCCTCCAGCGGAATGTCGAAACAATATATAATTACCCAGGGTAGTTAATAAAAGTTTTACGGTATATACATACATAATTCGTCGTTAATTTTTAATTGCAAATATCTTAGTGTAAGTCTTTTGAGGATAGCGGCCTTTAAGGAGGATTTCAATTAAATTAAGCACTAAAACAAGATTTGACTACATACTACTATAAGATTAAAAGGATAAGAAACTTATGAAAGATTTTTAAATTATAAATACAGGTAATCCAAACATCTTCCCTCTTTATGTAAAGTTAAATCTCAATATAAAAAACTCGAAGGGACAGAAGAAAAATTCCAGTCAGGGATCGTTTAAAAAAATATCGTTATTTTAAGAGGCTAAATAAACGGATCACAACATCATAGCAGATAAGATCCAATCAAATTTAATAATTAATATAATAAAATTAAAAATAATTCCTTATTTTTGTATTATTAAATATACGCGCAAATATATTTTGTTTAGAAAATTTTGTCCATGAATGTTTTAGTAATAGAGTAAGTTGGAGGTGGTGGAATGTAGTTGTCGGTGAAGGACAAAGGAAAAAAAGAAAAAAAAGCGGAAAAAGGGGAGGAGTGCCAAAAGGAAATTAATATTAAAAGGTGCCAAAAGACTTGAGAGCTTTACCCAAAATATCACCACTAAAAATATCAAAAATTAAATTAAAAAAGTAATTGACATTTTGGGGAAGGTTTGTTAGAATGCGTGTTCTTTTTTATGCGTATATTAAAACAATTCTTTCCAAAAAAGGTCCACAAAACTCTCACCATTTTCAATTTGTTTGTTTAAGACGTTGTCAAGGAGTTTAAATTAATTGAGAAAATTAATAAAAATTGGGGAAGGATTGTTTGGAAGGAGGGGGGGGATTGGCATTTTATGTCGATCTATTGAAGGGAGAGAAAAGTTTTTGTAATTCACCTCCAACCTTTCTCTTTTTGTTAATTTCTCTCTCATTAAAAAAATATTTTTTAAAAACTTTTTTTCCCAAAGTTAATTAAATTATGCATGAAAAGCAAACATATGTATTATTGGTATTTAATTACTTTATTTAGTCGAGAATAATTTTTATATATAAAGAAAGGTAAAATAAACTGTTTAAGCTTTTTGAATAAGAGAAAATTAATTAAACAATTTAATATTTATTAAATGTTTTGGGGGTGTTGAACTTGATCCTATTTTTAATAAAAATTCCAACAAAATTTATGTAAAATTGAACAATTTATTTTACTATTTAGAGAGAAACTCATTCAAAATAAAATTTAAAAATAATCAAAAATCAGTCTCTCTTTTCTAATCTTAACTGATGCTTTTAGTTTTTTAATTTTTATGTTAAAAAAACTAGACACACACGTTGTTTCGAATAAATTTGTAAGAAATTAGTGATACATTTGTTTAAAATATGAGAATAAAAAATTCCATATTTCCTTGCTGTTTTGATATTAATTCTTCCATTAAATGAAAAAAATACTTAGAAAAAAAACATTTTTATAAATATGAGAAATTTTAAAATTTTTAAATTAAAACAATAAATTTGAAGAAAAATTTTTTAAATTAAAACGAAAAAAAAATTAATTTTAAGTATACATAAACATATTAAAATAAATTAAAATGAGATACATATTCTTACAATAAAAATGAACAAAAATAATGTTCGAGTATTAAAAACAAACAAAAAACAAATATTGGGAAATAAATTGTCTAAAAAGAAACAGGAAAGACTTATGTCTCTTATATTAAATGAATGACTCTTTGACTTTTTTAAACTGAAAATAAAAATGATTTTGCTAAAATTCCTTGCTTATCAATATCCAACCGGAAGTTCCGGCTTTTTCCCTCCATTGTCAGGCAGGAAATTAATTCTTTCCATTTATATTTTTATAAAGTCAAGACTCCCCTTCATTTAATATAAGGTCAATATAATTACTATAATTAATCTTCTTTTTTAACTTACTAAAAAATACTTACACCAAAAGAATTCCTTTTAACGAGACCAATGACTATTTGCAAATTTATCCGTAATATTTTCAATTTCCAACTCCGCTTTATCTTCTAATTGTTCTTCAATTGAATTTTGATTAGTAGAAGAACATTCATTTGTATATCTACTTCGAGCATCCGATATACTTTTTTGTAATTCTCTCAAAAATTCCGGGACTTGTTGTTTGGAATTTTCAAGTTGCTAAAGATGAAAAATTAATTACGAACTTTTGAAAAATAAAAAAATTAAAATAAGGGATCCCGTTCATAATTTTTTAAATTCATTTCTTCAAAGCCCTTAAAGTATTCTTCAAAATTTTTTAGATCGAAAAAAATAAAATGTTAGTACAGTCGAAATGCCTCAACATCGGTAACTCATTTTTAATTTTGATGGGAAAGTCCATTAGAGATAACCCATTTTTAATACCTCATATTCACTTACAAATTAAATTTTCAAAAAAAACATTTTTTACCTCAATTAAAAATTCTGCCTGCATTTCATCATTTCGAGATCTTGGATCAAAAAAGATATAAGCACATCCATCTTCTGTTCCGATGCGGCCAGTACGTCCAACTCTATGTACATATTCTTGATAACGATGAATAGGCGGCAATTCATAGATGATCTAAATTTTATATTAAAAAGTTATAATCTTGATTCTTTCATCAGTTAATTTCCATCTGATCAAAATATGACCTTATTCAAAATTATACAATCGCATTATGCGTTATGTAAAAAATTGTCAAAGGGGAAATGCAAGAAATTCACAAAACCTGATAGATAACACAATTTTGTTTAAAACTAGACACATTGTTTTAAAAACAAATGAATAAACTTACAATATTTTTAACTTTTGGAAAATTCATTCCTCTAGCAATAATATCAGTCCCAATAAGAATATGCCATTTTCCTTCTTTAAAATCATTTACTGCTCTGTAACGTTGCTCCATTTCACGGTGACTACTAGTACTCATTGCACGGTAACCGTGATCACTAAGTTTAATTGCTAAACGCTCACAAGAACGAGCATCATTAAGAAAAATTAATGTACGTTGAGTATTGTAACAAAAATGTTCTAAAAGAACAATATTTTAAAAGGAGAGAATACAAAATAAAGAGGTGCCCGAAATTTTGGATATTAATATATCCATTAGGTTTCTTTATATACTAGTGTTATACAAAAACACAAAATATTGCTAAATGTCATGATTTGAATGATTAAGTCAGGAACTACTAATCAAAGGTTCCAAAGTGAATATTTACAGTTAACATAAGAAGCCCTAATTTTTACGCTCTGAGAAGGTCACGGAAATTAAAACGAAGGCTCCAAAAATTCTGGGATCAAAAGTTCCAAAGATAAAATTCAAGGACTTTAAAATTGTTTAAAAAGTACAAAATAAAAACCTCCATCTTTTGGTTCTACACAAGTTGATATTTTCCGTAATATAATTCTGGCCATTTCAAACTTTGCAGCATATCCATATTTATCAAAATCTACTTTCAAAACCCTTTGATGAACATGAGAAACAGCTTGATTAGGTTTACCAACAATTACTTTATAACAATCCTTCTTTAAAAAATCGTTAATAACATAATCTGCAACGTCTGTAATGGTTGCACTGAACATAAAAGTCCGAAAAAGAAAATTCTAAAAATTAAAAAAAAATAATCATATCAAAAATTAAAAGGCAGATTACATTTTGTTTGCGCATTCGATTAAATAATTCATGAAGTAGTGAAGAAAAGCTCTCTTCCTTAAAAAGATAATTTTTTATATTTATTTTAGTTAAAAAATTTTAAATGTAGAAAATGTGACAAATAAATTTTAGTTTGAGAAAATTAGAATTTTCAGAAAATTTTTTCAGCGGCATAGTAATGAGGACATGGGAAGAAATTAAATTTTAAATCCTCCGATATTTCGGAAAATATAAAAGCCTTAGTAATTCATTTAATCAATTTTACATTTAAAAACTAACCACAATAAACTTGTCAGCTTCATCAATAACGACAAACTGAGTCGTATCCACAAAAATCCATCCGTCATTTAGATAATGCTGTAAACGTCCAGGCGTAATAACAAGAATATCACACCCATTTGCTAATTGCTTTCTACCTTCTTCAAAAGGCATTTGACCTCTTGCATATGCAACACCAACTTGAGTACCTTAAAAATATATTTTAGAAAATATATTTAAAGTTAAAACCATAAGCCAATGTTTTAGCAAATTTGTAGAGTTGTTCAACCAATTCCTTTGTGTGAGCAACGATTATAGCTACAGGAGAAGAATTGTTTAAAGTGTCAGAACGACAAAATCCAGAACTAAGTTTATCTTTTTGCAACCGATTAATAATAGGAATCAAAAAAGATCCAGACTTTCCACTACCAGTTGCAGCAAGGCAAAGAATATCATCTAAAGAAAAGAAAATTATCTTCTATTGTAATAATTTTTTTGTCATACAATAAGAAAGCTCTTAAACGGAAAAACATAGCGTTTTTTACGACATGTTCCAAACCAATACGTTAATAAAGCAGTAGACTTTCAAAGTCTAAACACCGACCCTATCTTAAAAAGTGGGCGCCTTGATTTTTTTTCATCATTTTTTTCCAACCTTAATATATAAATAATGGTCAGTCTTTTCTTCTTCGTGCAATTCCACTCTTTTTACCTGTGGCATATTCAATTGAGAGGACAGAAAAGCACAAAAACTACAGACAAAACACGGACGGACACACACAAACTTGTTTTGTCTGTCCGTGCTCGTCCGTGTTTTGTCTGTCTGTACTCGTCCGTGTTTTGTCTGTCTGTTTTCGTCCGTGTTCGTTCGTGCTCGTCCGTTTTCGTCCGTGTTGTCTGTGTTCGTCCGTGCTCGTCAGTGTTCGTCCGGTTTCGTCCGTGTTTTGTCCGTCCGATATTGTCTGTCCGTGAGTGTATTTTTCTGTCCTCTCAATTGAATATGCCACAGGTAAAAAGAGTGGAATTGCACGAAGAAGAAAAGACTGACCATTATTTATATATTAAGGTTGGAAAAAAATGATGAAAAAAAAATCAAGGCGCCCTCTTTTTAGGATAGGATCCAAAAAAACTAAATGAACTATTTCGACTTGTGGGGTATAAGCGAATTTTTTTTAATGTTTTTAATTTTATATTTAAATCATTTAAAAATAAAAAACAAACTTGTAGTGTTTTGAATGAGAGGAATAACACACTTTTGCACATCAGTAGGCTCAAAATAATTAATTGAATTTAAAGTATTACGAAGTTCCGCATTAATTTTAACATCATTAAAAGATCTAAAAAATAAGTTTACAAAACTTTAAAATTCTAACCTTATTATATGACTTCCCCCATTTCCATCACCCCCAATAATTCTAACAGGCAATTTTGCATTAACTACTGGACCATGATTTATTTGTTGTTGTTCTTGAATAAGTTCCTCAATTCCTTTTGTTTTTGGTATAAATTTGCGCCGTTTAACTTAAATTTTTATTAAATAAGGACTTATACTTCCCCCACATATTTTTCATTTCTAAAACTCTCGTATGGGTAAATGGAGTTTAAAACAGTTTTGTTTTTAAAAAACTTTGGGTAAAAATGAAAGCTAGACTTTCGTTAAACAAAAAAATTATTAATTAAACTCACGTGTCTCACTTAACGCAGGCATATTTTGAAATATAAATTCGATAAAAAAAAATTCAATAAGAATCCTAATTTAAAAATAGATTTCAAAAAATTAAACACTAATATATTACTCCTTCAAACATCCAATAATTAGTTGAATTAAAACAAATATCTAAAAATAAAACCAAAGGAAATAACAAATTTATCAGCGCAAACAGAGAAAGATTTAAAGAAAAATTGCCATTTTGTTCAACAAATAAACGTAGTAGAGTATAATAGATCAACAAATCATTCAAGTATTATGAGAACAATATTGTATAGGTTGGTTGGTTTATAAAGCATATAGTCAGGAAAATAGAATTTTTGCGAACTTTGCTTTTGTATAAATTTAAAAAATTAATTTTCTCGACCATATGCTAAATGTTGAGGGAACACGCCGATCTATCACAAGCCAGTCTATTAAAAGGCTTATAACTAGGCTCAAAAGTCATATCATTAAAACATTTTCCAGGACATTTTTCGGTAGACTGGCCTGCTCCCAAAGTTTGGGGTAATTGAGTGCTTTCCCGTGTGGTAATCATTTAAAATAACAAAAATAATAGATAGGAGCAAAATATTGGAAAATTGCAAAAATAATTGCACCGGTTTTTTACTTGATTTTTAAATGTTAAAAAATATTAAACTCATTTTCAGAAACAAAAAATATTTAATTCCTTTACTTAACCCAAAAAATTATTCAAAAACCATGTGCTTAAAAATACTGTTGTGAGAGTAATTGCGACTGTATTATCTTGTAACCATTCATAAAACCAAAAAAAGAGTATGGGCAATGAAATTGATTTGTTTTTCATCCAATCATTTAACAATCAAAAAACTCATTCCGTTGCAACAGCCTGAACTTCCTTCTCTTCTTGCTCACCCTGTTAAAATTAAAAAATAATTTAATTGTAAAACGTTAAATTTTAGTTGGGACTAAGAGACGACTTGGCTAAAACACTTTGTAAGAAAAAGAACACGTTCCCAACAGAAGCCGTGGGCCCTCTATCAAGGATAAAAGAAGAAAATCCGAAAACAATGTTCTACAAAAATATTTTAATTTAAAACTTACATCTTCCACGCGCTTCTTCTTCTGCTGAAGCTGATCTTCCTCGTGCGTTAAATCATCGCCTGGTCCAGAACGTTTACGGTTCTAAACAAAAATCAAAATATAAATAAAGAAGTGAATACAAATACACCAACCTTAGCATCATTTCCATTAAGTTCAGCCACAACTTCAGTGACGACGTCACTTTTCTCTTCAGCCGAATGACCATTTCCCTTGACAGACCGATCGGCAACCCCATTGTCAGAAGAAAGATGCTATAAAAACAGAATATACAAAAGAAAAATTGCATAAAAAATAACCTTCGAAGCGTCCTCAGTGGTGACCTCATCCGGCTTTTCATCATCCGCACTCTTTTGACTACCTTCATCCTGATCTTCTTCAGAGACACCGTTGTCCACAGACGAAACTACCGAATCACGGCTTTCTTCACCAACATCAGGCTTTGGAGCATCTGCCGAAGCCGGTTGCTTGGCTGGAGTCGAAACCTTTTCCTCAGACGCCTTATCAATTTGTTCGACTTCTTGAACTTCCTGAACAGCTTGTTCTTTGCTCATTTTTAGAATTTTTTGAGATGAAGTAGGAAAGTTGTATTCTATAAAATATAAGATTAAAAAAACAAATTGTAAAGAAAGATTTCGGTTTGAAAAGTATGAATAATAGCATAAACAGAAACCTAATACTGTGAAAAAATGGACAAAAAAAAAGTTTTTCCGCTATTAATTTCAGAGACCGATGTTCTGCAACACAGAAAAATCAAATTTCTAATTTAAAATACGATTAAGAAAATGTCAAGAAAGCACGAGACAAAATTTAATAATAAATTCTGGAGTGTATGAACAGATAAATAAAATCATTCAAAAAATAATCGCAATAAATTATTGAAATGTTTAGCTTAAACAACTAGTCTCGAACGCTCAACGAAAACATGTGTCGCCAACTTTACTAAATTAAAAATGACTGCTTTTACGAAAAGTTGTAAATAAATAAATATTTAAAAATGAATTCTAAAATCTGAAACAATCGTAAAAATTGAAAGTGAGAAAGGCACAGAAACAGAGATTTAATGGCGGAAGTTAAAAAAGGAAGAAAGGAATAATTGAGTCTTTCAATTGATTTTTGAAGATGACGATTGAGTCTTCTCGGGGACACGACCAAAACAGCGCGGGGCCTTAACAACGCAAAGCCATAACTTGCTTCAAGACTTCCAAATCTTAACAAATTTAGTATTAAACGATTCCTCTTATCGAGCTAAGGATATTGGTACCAAAATTGTGGCCAGAAAATTTCCAGCTAGTTATGGCTTTGCGTTGTTAAGGCCCCGCGTTGTTTTGGGCTGTACCATTTTCTCGATTGGTTCCCGGTTTTACAGTGGGGTCCTGGCAATTTTTGGACCGGAAAAATTGAAACTGGGAATTTTTTATGGTCCCATATCCTTCCCTGCTTCCTTCAAGCTTAATTTCCGGTCCTCCCAGTCTCTGTTTTTTTCAAAACTCCTAAGAGTTTTTGTCTACTTGAGTAATTTTTTCCCCTTTTTTTGCAGTTGTTTAGAGTTTCAGAATAGTAAATTTCTTATATATTTTTTTATTTTTGCAGACAACTATATTTAAATATTCTTTACACCAAATCATGAAATTAGTCCGTTTTTTGATGAAGCTCTCGCATGAGACGGTTACTATCGAATTAAAGAATGGAACTCAAGTTACAGGAGCAATTCAAGGCGTTGATGTTGCTATGAATATGCATTTACGTTCTGTGAAGATGACTATACGCGGACGTGAACAAATGCAACTTGATACGCTTTCCATACGAGGTTTCTCTTAATAAAATTGTGTGATGATCAATTCAATTCGGTTAATATTTATTCATAGAGAGTTGTTCGGCCGCTTTTCATTTAGAAGCTTAAATTCTTCAAGCGCTACAAAATTTCGTCTGAGGCGCAAAAAAGGAAGGATAATTGTGGCGTATCCTTAATCATTTCTGTGGACATTTTTGACTTTTCCTTTCCCTATTTTTTGCTTTTAGCCAGCCGATCAATTAATAGTGTTGGGATAAATTAAAATTAGTTATTCTATCTTTCCTTGATGCGGAAAGGATAAACTCAAGAATTAATCAGTACCAAATTTGATTATCCTGATTTTTTATTCAAAAAATATATTTTGCACAAATTAAAATTTATGATTTTCAGGGAATAATATTCGCTATATTCAATTGCCGGACTCACTTCCACTTGATACTTTACTTGTTGATGATGAGCCACGAAAGAAGCCATCTCAGCGTCGTTTTGGATCGGGACGTGGCCGTGGTGGCGGACGTGGTAGAGGAGGCACTCGTGGAGCGCGTGGTGGAAGCCGTGGTAGACGTTAATTGAATGAAAAGAGAAGTGGAGACTTTGTTTTTGATCATTAATTTATATTATGAGTTTGATTTTATTTTTGGTTAATGCAGGAAAGGTTTATGATAGTTATTGGTAGTTTAACATAAGTTAGATTCACATTTTTTACTTTGGGCCAAAAATATCAGGTTATCGACATAGTTTACAACAGATTTTTGAATTTCATTTAATCTTTAAATAAAGCTATATCCCCTTGAAGTTAGCGGATCTGACCTGCATTAATTTTAATATCTTTAATCACCACAATCCATATTGTTGTGACATTTTTCTACTTTTTCATTGTTTTTACTAATTATATAAATATGAAGTTGAAAAATAAATCTTGATTCTTTTGATTTGATACTTTTACTGATTTTATTCTTTTACATTCTTTTATTGATTCTTTTACAAAGTTATTCCAATCAGTTCATTCCGCACTAAGTTTTTTACCGTAAAATGATCTGATTGTTCGAGTTTAAAAATAGCCCTGAAATGTTTCAGCGACTAGTGCTGCGGCAAAACGTCCCTCACACAAAAACCGTGTTTTTAAAAACCCGCCTTTTGGCACATTTTTTTCGTCTTTGGCACAAAAACTTTTCCATAAATCCGCTTTAATCCAATCCATTATCTTTAAGTTTCTTGATATTTCAGTTTTTGATATTACAGAAACCTATTTTAGCTTAATATTATTCTAATTTCGAATTGAACGTTTTGTTAAATGAGCAATTCTCGTGTTTATGTAAGTTTTAAAATTTTTCTGTTCAATTTTACATTAAATAATTCAGGTTGGGCATATTCCTTATGAGGCTAGAGAGAGGGATGTAGAACGCTTCTTTAAAGGTTATGGACGAATTAGAGATATACTTATTAAGGTAAATTATTTACAAAACTTCATTTAATTCTTACATAATTTTTAGCGGGGTTATGCTTTTGTTGAATTGGATGATCCAAGGGATGCGGATGATGCTGTGTACGAATTAAATGGTCGTTCTATTTTGGGAATGAGGTTAATTTTCATAACCAACAAATTTTAAAATTAATTTTAGAGTTGTCGTTGAAATTGCAAAAAGTAAGCCGTGGCGAACTGGTGATACTTGGAGCTCTCGTCGACGTGGATATTCTCGATCGCGTTCTCGATCTCGACGTCGTTCCTACTCTCGAAGTCGCCGTCGATACTCTCGGAGCCGTTCGCGCAGTTACGAACGTTCTCGACGTAGGCGCAGCCGGACTCCGGAAAGTGACCGTGAACGTTCTCGAAGCCGTGATCGATCTCGCAGTTATGAAAGGGATGTAACTCCAAACAAACACCGCACCAAATCTGAAACTACTAAACATGATCGAAGCAGACACTCACGCAGTCGCACAGCAGAAAATGACCGCTCTCGCAGCCGTGATCGTTCTCGAAGCCGTGAACGTTCTAAGAGCCGTGAGGAGCGTTCTAGAAGCCGTGGTCGTTCTCGCAGTGAAGAGAGGGATTTGACTCCAGCCAATAAAATAACCAAGGACGAAGAAGAAGAGAGTCGAGAATCAGTAGAATCGAATGTTGATATGAAGTCCAAAGAAGAAGTTCAAGATGAAGATACTACAAGTAAAAGATCAGTAGACGAAGATACACCAGCAACGGATAATTCTGAATCTAATAATCATGTGAACAATTGGCATCCAGTCAAAGAAGAGAGCGATGATAACAACGCTGAAGATAATGGAACTGATGTTAAGGTTTGCACAAATATTCTTAATTTTTAAATATATTAACTGCCTTTTTAGAATCGAAAGCGTTTACCAAATAATGGCGAGGTCGAAAATGATGATGCTGTGCAGATTAAACGCGTGAAAGATGTATTTTTTTATAATAAAATTAAAAATAGCTTGACAAATTCTAAGAAAGTACAGTCGACCCTCATTTTTAGATGTATTGGGTTGTAACATAATTAATGATCGTTTTTTCTCAATTTACAAAACGCAATAAATAAACAAAAAACAAATTGAATCGATGATATAATCTCCTTGTTGCAACACTACAAGTCTCTAGCACTTCCTCAACCTTCGAATTCCTCTCTCCCAAAAGTCTGTGCCGAGTTTTGAAGCAATCCATTGACCTACCTCTTTTTTGAGCTGTTCATCATTTTTGAATTGCTAGTCTCTGAGGAAGTTCTTCTGCGACCGGAATGCATAGAAATCAGAAAGTGCCAAGTCAGGTGAATAGCCCGAACGAGGTAAGAAGTCCCAGTTGAGGTCGTTTTGGATGTGCTAGCGGGTTTTTTGTGCTCGCGCCCTTTTTTGTCTTTGTGGAGGCGTGAGTTAACGTGGCATGTTTCGACTCAAACTTGTTCAATCAAACTAATTTTTGTGTCATTCGACTCAGCTCGAGGAGCTCTTTCGAATGAGCTATTATTTGTATCAGCTTTTTTTTATTCCAAAAAATTGCCCCTATATTTTTCGGGACCTATAACTCGGTCCAGAATCATTTTCCGAAGTAGAGAGTGGTACCGTTAGATTCAGCCGTTAGATTCAGCTCGTCGAGCCGAATCGAATGACATATGTCACGTCCTACATGTCGCGTCTTACACTATATCCGAATTAAAACCGGAAAAGCTTGAAAATCACCTCTCGACCTAGCTCCATTTAAAATAGAATAACTTTTCTAAATTCGTCTAAAAACGGTCAAATTTGGTATCAAATTAAAGAGCAGAAATAGAGCAATAAAACAAGAATAAATAAAGCAATATTTGATAATCTTAAATGATTCTATAACGCGTTAAAGAAAAACGATCATTAATTATGTTACAACCCAATATATTTAGGGGTATCTTGTACCTTATAGTAAGGTTCGACTGTAGTAGTTTGTATAATTTAAGAATGCTTTAGGATGCGGTTTAACGCTTTTATAACATTTAACTCGTCATTTTTATTTAACAGGAAGAACAAGAAGAATATGGCCCTGCTCCTCCAGCTACTCTTATGGAATGATCTTTTTTTGGTAATTTATGTATGAGAAAAAGTGGATAAACAATTCAATTTTTTGGACATTATTTGTTTTGTGTTCTTTTCCATCTCTTTAATCAAGTAACTTTTATGAGTGATGTTAAATATCATGGTAAGGCATTGATGTTGGAATATATTTGGTAGGGAGGTTTAAAATAAAACGGAGTTCAGATTTCCTGAATTTGTATGGTTCTTTGGATTTAAGTTTTTAATTAAATCTGACCGTGTTTTCTATCCATGCCCTCCGTCTCAACAAAACTAATCGTTAAAATGAACTCTGTTGATAAAAAATTGGAAAAGAACCCAACAATCATTACCTTATGTTAAGTCCAATAATCATATATTTTGTTATTTTTCGTTAAACTTTTCTTTATTTTCATGTCCAGCAAAGTCTGAGACCACGTTCAAGAGCCAAATACACACACACGCACATTCAAAGAGCTCGTGAGTGCACAAACACAGAACAGAGCCAAAGCACACTCGGGCTAATTTTGGTTTGCTTAAAAGCTTTTTTTGGTTGCGGCGCGTTCTTTTTTTTCATTTTTTGGGGGGAGGAGGGGGGCCTAAATTTTTTATCAAAATTAAGAAAAGGAATATTCAAAATAATTATTGTTATAGCTGTCGATCAAAGTTGCATTCAAACGTCTACGTACACAACGTTCTCGTACACATCCTTCAATCCGAAACACGCCTACCAAGACGGATTCAATGTGTTGTGTGCATTGACTTAGAATAGTTTAAAAATGTATCTGTTTGGATATTTTAATGAAAAAATTTATTAAAAATAAATTTAATATTATCCTCTAAACAGGAAGTATAATTTAAAAATTATATAAAAACAATTAAAGCATGTTTTCTAAACGTCCAACAAAATTCGTTTTCCAGATGCATCTTTACCTACTAAATTAAGAGTATCAGCTATAGCTGGTTTTAAGGTTTTGTTTATGTAGTCACGCGTTTGTTCCTCTGCTCGTCCGCAAAGGCGAATAGGTTCTGAACAGAATTGTAGAAGCTCCTCACGAATCTGTTGATAAGGAAACTTTTACTAAAATATTAAAATGAAAGGGCCGATATTTTTAAGGAAATTCCATGAGGTTCGAAAAAGATAACCATAATAATTAATTGTATATCAAATATTACTTCTTGTAGTTGATCAACGATTAAGGCTACATTCGAATTCTTCCCAACATCTAATGTAATTTCACGGATGCGAGCATGTGCTTCTTGTCGATTTCCTCCTCGCTCAGTTAACAACATTAATGCTCTTTCAAGAATAGCGTTTCTTATGGATTGACGAACGTTTTCTTCCACAACATCATTATTAACATTAAGACCTTCCAAAATGTTCTAAAATCCATTAAATAATTCTATTTAATTTTTAAAAACTTGTAATGTGGAGAGAATAGAATCCGCTGAAAGAAAGGCGTCAGGAATAATTAATCTTCTATTAGCCGAGTCATCCAATGTTCGCTCAAATCCTTGGTTGGCATAAGTCTCCAAAGGGTTCTTTCAATTTAAAATATGAATTAAAATTATTTAAAAAAATCTTACCAAAGTCAAATTCATTAAATAGCGGGCTATTCCACAAATTCGTTCGGAACGGATAGGATTTTTCTTGTAAGGCATAGCAGAACTCCCTACTTGATCTTGATCAAATGGTTCACATATTTCTCCTTCTGATTGAAGAAATCGAATATCTAGGGCAATTTTATGAGCAGCAGACCCGAGTGTAGCAAGGACAAAAACAAGTTCAGAGTCCTTTTATTTAAAATTAAAATATAAAATTGAATTGTAAAGGAACCTGCCAACGTGGATATGTTTGACCACATATTTCAAAATTTTTATCAAATCCAGCCTTTTTGGCTAAGGTAGAGTCAAGTTTAACTACTTTAGAAGAGTCGCCACCAAAAAGCTGTAGGAGGGCATCTTGTGTCCCAACAGCGCCTTTCACACCTCGAAAACGAATGCGAGAACGAAATTCTTTTGCCTTAATATAAATAAAAGTTTAAATAATTAAATTAAAATTTACTCTTAGGAAAACATTTAAAAGCCCATCAATCCATAGAGAAGCCCTTTTTCCAATTGTAGTAAACGAGGCATGTTGTAAATGTGTTCGACCGACTGTTGGTGTTGCAGCATATTTAAGTGCAAATTCGGCCAGCCGGTCTAAACAAATAGCCAACCTAAAAATAAAATTGATAAAATTGAGATATCAAAATCAAAGCAATCGGACTTAATTAAATGTCTTTTCGAATTGTTAATTTTAAGCAAGGTTCTTAAAAATTTATCGTTTTTCGATTCAAGTGATACGCCGTATTTTAAGTTATTCCTTCAGCCCTAAAGAATCTTAAAAATAATGCTCGACTATTAAAATTAATGTAAATACCTTCCAATAATATAATCAAAAGCTTTGCATTGAGCAATTAAATCAGCGTTATCTTGTACAAAACATGAAGTTGCCCCCAAATGAATTATTCCAGCAGCATTTGGACAACACTTAAAAATACTATTGAAATAAATTTTAATTAGAAAAATTATACTTTACTATAAGTGTGTATATGTGCCATAACATCATGCTTTAACTCTGATTCTTTTTTACGGGCAAAATCCCAATCAATATTGTTTTGTTGTGCTTTTAATTCATCAATCTTTTCATTTGTTATGTATGCCAATCCAAGTTCTTGTTGTGTTTCAGCTAACCAAATCCATAATTGACGCCAAGTAGAAATCTATCGAATTATTTATGAATCTATAGGTTATTTAACAACAATTACATGTTAAAAATTTTTATCTCATATTAATTTTTACAAACCTTTGTTTGTTCAGAGAAGATATTTAGAAGTGGACTGTTACGACACCAACGCTCAGAAAATGGCGAATTATAGGTATTTGGGTTCATCTAACAAGACTTCCTTAATTTTATTAGAAACGAAACTAAAAAAATTTTTTGTTTTAATTCCAAGGAATTTATTGTTAAATAAACAATAATTATTTAAATTAACAATATAAAATAAATTTTAATAAAAAAAAGGAAAGAATAACATCAAATATAATCATTTACAAGCAATAATAATGTCACTAGCATTTTCCTCCATCAATTTCTCCTTTTTATTAACTTCAATACGCCATTCATTCAGTCGTGTCTCAATAGCAGTTATCTTTAAATAAAACAAAGTTTAAAAAATTATTAATTTAAAACCTGTTCAGAAGAAAGTGCTCGCGGTTGTATCCAAGTAATATTGACAATTTGGCTTATCTAAATTTTAAAAATAAAAATAATTATTTTCTTAAATACAGGCAATCATCGATTTTAGATATCATCAAAACCAGAAAGTTTAATTTTAGATACGTTTTTAGTTTAGTTGACCCAAGAATGGGAAATCTCTTTAAGCGATAACTCCTATTTAAAGTCCTCCTCATTACAAGTTTTCAACTTAAAGGATTAGCTAAAAGCAAGGTTTGCCTGTATTTCTAAACCTGATCAATATGCCCTTTAATTAAGTCATTAGCCAAAGCCTTCATAACAAGCAATTCAACTTGATCTTCTTCCAAATGTGCCGTTTTTGCGATGTTTGCAAAAGAAAGATTTCTTTGCTTTGGAGGGTGACGAGCTGCCATCTTTAAATTTTTTTAATTAAAAAATATTTTTTAGTAACCTCCATAAGGCAAAGCAAACGTAATTTTTCTTCAATTAATTTCATATTTGCCGAGATGTCAACAGCTTCATCTTGCAATTTCCCTTTAAACTATAAAAAATATATATAATGAGAATTAAAATTTTTTGGCTGCCTTAACAAAAATCTTACATTCCTTTAAACTTAATTTAAAATAAACCTCATCCAACATTTTTAAAAATATTTAACAAAAACCTTATCAAACTCATTCCAATCTCCAGCATTTAGAGCATATAAGGCATTAACAATCCATTCCTTTGGACCTCCCATAAGTGCTTCCAAAATTGGATGGGCCAGCAATTCACCAAAATTATAAACCCCTTCACCTAAAAGTGCAGCAACACAAAGCAAAAGAGCATATTCTTCCCTTTCTGACATTTTCAGATTTTCCAAATCCTCACATCCCAAATAGCGAAGAGCTTCAACATAATAAGCTGCATAATCACCGACTTGACGTTGGTAGGCAGCGGAGACCTAAATGTAAGACTTTTTTCAAAGAAATAAAAAAATACCTTATAAAAAGCAGTGTGCACAGGGCCAACTTCCAAGAGACGATTTAAGCGCTCTTCTGTTTCTCCAATCATATTCTAAAATTTGTTTAAAAAGATTTCAATTAAATTCTTTAAAAATTATTTTCAATAAAATTCTACCCTGACTAAATCCATTTCTTTGCATTGTCCATTCTCATTCAAATCAAGCAAATAAAGTTGAATCTCGCCAGAAATAAGGCGAGTCATAGCTCTTGCATCGTTTTTGACAACATTTTCAAATTTCTTCAAGAAATCAAATGCTGCTTGTTTTTCTAAAATTTGAAAAAAAGAATTAAATACCTAATTATTAAATCATACCTTCCTTCTTAAATTTATTTTCCGCAATGGGAATAATTAATTGAATCAATTTTAATGGATGAATACGATGTTCAAAATCCTTGATAAAAGACTAATAATAAAAATAATTACTTTTTTTAAAGAAAAATTTAAAAAAACATCATAAAACTCATTCAAATCAATTGCCGAAACAAAATTACTGTCATTAACCAATTGATAAGCAAGTTCGGATAATTGATTCCAAAGCCTAAAATTTTAATGATAATCAAGTGAATAAAAACAAACTTGTTTATATAAAAGGATTCAAGCTTTTGAAATTGTTCAGCAATATTTGTATCATCCAAGGAAATTGATTTGTCATGTAAATATTTTTCTACTTTTTGCGATCCCATCTTTAAGTTGTGAAAAATAAAAGATTTACGTTTATTAGAGATAAAATGTGAAAAATATAAAAATGATGAGATTAACAATGAGAGTGAAATAAAAGAATTGTTAGATGAAATGATACTTCAGTTAAAATGGGCAAAATGGTAGGGTTTCAAAGGGGCACGTACCATTTTGTCTAATATCCTTCTTGACCATTATGTCAATACCATTTTGTGATTTAATAATAGAATGCCAATATAAACGCCAAAATGAATTTAGAGTCGGGGACGTTTTAGTCCGGCCGTTTCAGTCCCAGGACCTTATTTGCCACAACGGTTTTGATTCTTAACCGTTTTGAATAAATAATTATATCAGCCAAAGGGATTGAATGTTGTTATTATTCCCAACAAGATCAATTTATCAGATGATCCTTTAAAAAGTTACAACTTTCTAGGGAAATTTTTCACCAGCAGATGTTTTTTTCAATAGTTTATAGATTAATGTGGAATTGTTAATTACTTTCTTTTTAGCTAAAATACTTTTATTGTGCATTTATTAATTTGCGGAGGCCCTTATTATTTTTATTTGTTTATTACACCGAATGCGAAACTTGAGAAGGCAAAATGGAGCAGTACTAGCACCAACAACACTGTCAGCAGCCTTCCCTTTTACATCTTATATTTTACTTCTGCTGAGTGTTAATTTCGTTTTTTCTTTGCCAAATGGAGATAATTTTTACAAAACAAATTTAACAGACACAACAATAGAAAATATTCCAAATTTTAATATAAAAAATGACAACGTCAGCCTTCATCAAAAACAATTGCCACACATTCAATTGCCCTCAACGGTTTATTTTATATTTTTTTATTTTTATAAATTTATTTTTTAGGTTGTTAAACAAGAATTTGTCACGAAAGATAAGAAAACGCTCCTGTCAGGAATTCGAATTGAGCCAATGAAATCTGGCGAACCAGACTTTATTGGATATACGTATGTTTTAATTAATTTATCTTGAATAATTTTCAACCTTTTAGTGACAAAGGACTGAGTATTGTTGCCCCTGATACGGAAGTTAGAGTTGTTCTTTTTGGAACGTTTTTGGATGAAATTGTTTTAGTTGGATTTACACTTAGTCAGAACTGCTCAGAAACTGTGTTGAATATTGTCCAAGAAGATTTTAGTATTCAGACAGATAGACGAATTGTTATTATTTACAAATTTTCTGAGTATGTTTTTTTACTTTAATTTTTAGTGAAAGAATTGAAAACACAGAAAAATACTTATTAATTTCCAGATCCAAGTCCGTCTACAAACTTTGTCTTAAACAAAAAGCTGCTGATGACGTTTTCGACCTTCCTTTCTATTTGGTATTTCTTTAAAAAAATTTTTGGCATTAATAAATTTACTTTCAAGGTTGACGATCTACGTTGTTCAGTTTCAACTGATATGCCACCTCGTCAGTACTATTTTCCAATGTTTGTTCAAATTTCAATTGTTGCTGCCTTGTTAGTGCTTTCTGGTCTTTTCTCTGGCTTAAACCTTGGATTAATGTCACTTACACCCCAAGAACTTACACTCATTTCGAATTCTGGTAAAACTCGAAACTTGAAAAAATGAATTTTCAAATTGAATTTTTAGGCTCTTCGAAAGAAAGAAAATATGCCCAAATGATTTTGCCAGTCAGGAAATCTGGCAATCAATTACTTTGCTCACTCTTAATTGGAAATGTTTGTGTAAATTCAGCAATTTCCATTCTTTTTGATGACCTTACAAGTGGATATGTGGCTTTGGCCATTTCTTCGGCTGGCATAGTTGTCTTTGGTGAAATATTCCCACAGGCTCTGTGTGTCAAGAAAGGACTTGCCGTTGGTGCTCACACAATTTGGGTTACCAGATTTTTTATGGTGCTTACTTTTCCTGTAAGTTTTTTTACTGATTTTTTATAATTTTATTGTCTTAAAAATAGTTGGCCTACCCAATAAGTAAAGTTCTCGATCATTTATTGGGCGATGAAGTTGTTTCTTATGATAGAAAACGTCTTATGGAATTAATCAAATTGAGTACTAAAAATGCAATAGGTCCAGCCGAGGAATTAAAAATTGCAATTGGTGCTTTTGAAATGGGTGATAAAACAGTAAAAGATGTAATGACAAAAATTGATGTAAGTGACTTTAAAATTTGAAAATAATATTTGTAAATTACAAATTAATATTTTGGCACATTTTCTCGAACTATAATTCCCTCTTCTCTTTCCATATAGCAAATTTTCATTTGTTTTGTTTATATGGATGAGTTCAAATTAACTCTCACTCATGACCATTACTAAATCTATATTTTCTTTACATTAAAATCAAAATCAATCTCATATGATCTATTTATTATTTTTTAAATATTTCAGGATGTCTTTATGATTCCAATTAATACGGTTCTAAATGCAAAGATTGTTGCTCAAATTGTTCATTCCGGCTACACTAGAATCCCTGTATATGATAATGCAAGAGACAATGTTGTGTCACTTCTTTTTGTTAAAGATCTTGCAATGTTGGATCCTGATGATAATTTTTTGGTTAAAAATTATTTTTTTAATAAATTTATTTAAAAAAAATAATTTTAGGTAAAAACAGTTTGTGATTATTATCGACATCCTGTTCGTCGTGTACCTGAAAATACCCCTCTTAGAACAATGCTTGAAGAATTCAAAAAAGGTGAATATCACATGGCTTTAGTTGATCGTTTAGCTCCCGGAGGAGAAAAAGAATCAAAATATGAATTAGTTGGTTTAGTTACACTAGAAGTAAGGAAGTTATTGAAATATGGAAATAAGAATTTTTTGTCAAGGATATTGTTGAAGAAATTTTGCAGGCTGAAATTGTTGATGAAACTGATATGGTCACAGATAATGTACACAGAACTAAATTAAAGAAAAATAATGTTTGCTTTTTAAATTTTATATAAGAATTTGTAATTACTTTTTTAGCTTCATTTTATGCATTTGTTTAATGATGAGGGAAGTGCCTGTCAAATATCTCTTCAAATGCAAGTTGTTACAATACAGGTTAATTTTTGAAAGCTATGAATATTAGTCTCCCGGATAACCAAGTAATGTATTTTGTAATATCTTCTAACGAAAAACAGTCTTCGAACAAACTCCCATTAAATACACCCTTTACTAATTTTTTCTAAAAATAAACATTATTTTCAAGTTTTTGGAGGGAAATTTCAAAGCATTCAGTCGCGATCGAATAGCCCAACCAATATTAGAAAGAGTTATTCGTAATCATGTACATAAAGTTGAAGTCTCTCACTTAACTGATATTAATGATGCTTTAACTTCTGCATTACCTCGAAAAGCAAAATTATATACTAAAAAGCAGCTCTCTGATAAATTCATTCTTATTTTGGAGGGGCGAGCTGTAATTACAATTGGACAGGTTTTTTTTATTAAACTACAGTTGGAACTCGTTGTAAGAGTTACTTAATATTCTAGTAGATACACTTGAATCTGTGAAGAACCTAAATCTAAAGGATTCCCTTTAGGATACCCCAAACATTTTTTTCCATTTCAAAAAACTATCTTACTACGAGTTTTGACGTTTTAAAAAATTCAATTTTTGTAAAATAATTTTTAAAAAAGAATTCGATGAATTTTGAAGTTGGCCCATGGCAATATTTTGGAACTGAAATACTTACTCAATTTGATGATTTAATTCAATCCATCGATCCACAACGGCAAAGCATCGATTCTGTAGCAAATAGTACAAATAATATGTTAGGTCAAGTCAAGGCTGTGCCGAGTGCTATTTCTGAACTTGACAAAGTAGATAATGCTGGAAATCGTCCTTCTTTACCGGGTGTTCTCTCTGGTTTGAAATATAGAATTGAAAATTCTGCAGTAATTTTTATTCTTAAGTTCTTTCAACAGGCAGTCAACAACAATTTGTTGATTCTACGTCACAAGATGTTGCAAAAAGAATAAAATTTCTTCCAGACTTTTCACTCGTTATAAGAAGGTTTTGGATATTTTTTACATCTAAAATTAAAATTTTAGTGAATGTACATATTTGGAAATTTCTTCACAAACATATTTGGCAATGTATAGAGGAACACTTATGACTAGAAATAGGTATGTTTTTACAGGATAGTCAAACCTTGCTATAAGATACCTACATTCAACTACATACACCTTCATTAAAATAAGTTAAAATTTGTTTGACCTAAGCGAACCCTCCTATTTAAGATATATATAAAAGATATACAGCCGTAAATGAATATCTTATATTAAGGTCTGACTGTATTTTTAGAATATTTTTAAATATAATTACCAGAGTTGATGCTTCTGGTGCTAGTATAGCAATTGATGGTGTTCAACCAGATGTTGTGTCCGTTACTGGACAGAATCCTTCAATTGCCAATTTTTATGTGCCTGTCTCTCCTCAGCAACAACAAAGTGGAAATATGGAAGAAATTAATGACTTAGTTGATAATAAATTAAAAGGAAAAAGAAATGAAAATGGAATTAGACAATTATCTTTTGAAATGAA